AGCTCGCAGCCCGTCCCGATGAACTCCTGGCTGCAGTTGCAGACCCCTGAGCCGCCGATTTTGTCATCGCAGGTCCCACGGTTGTTGCACGGCGCCTCCAGCCCTCCCGGGCACGCTGCAAATGGCGCACATTAGTGAGGCTCTGGTGACAAAGGGACGCTGTGCTGGAGGGTCCCTTTGCCCCTGACCCCCCGAACCCCACACCAGGTGCCCTGAGCTGCTGCTCACGGGGTGCTCGGACCACAGACAGCTCAGCAGCCTGGGCACTGAGTGCTGGGGACATCCCATGACAGGAAAACTTAGGAATGGGGGCAAGAGGGACAAATGTGGCACAGCTTCCAGCCTGGGAAGAAGCCCTGCTGTGGTGTGCTGGGTCTGTGTTGTTCTGCCCCACACTAACAGCAGACTCACCCAAGGATGTGAAAGCTGCCCGTGGCACAGAGGGCAGATGCCAGGGAATGGTTGAGCATTGACAATGTCTAGAGGTGACATGCCTGACAGCTACCCCCAGCAGCCCAGGGCTCTTCGCAGAGACAAGATAAATTCTCCAAGGAAAGGGAACTTCTTGTCATAATCTCAGGGCATTGCTCCTGCACCCTCTACAGGCTGGGGCTCCCCGCCTGGGGTTTTGCCCACCCTTCTCTGGGGAAGCACGCTCGTGGATGTCGGGTGTGCTGAACCAGCAAAGTCACCTCCTCGCAGAGGACAGGGCCGGGCGTGACAGGGCGTGGCTCTTACCCCGGCAGTCCCGGCCATAGTGGTTGGCACAGCACTGCGGGACCCGGAGGCTGGACACGCAGCTCCTCCTGCAGCCTCGTCTGAGAGGCCCCCTGGAAGAGAAGTGTCTCCTGAAGGGGTCCCACGGGGAGTGCGGGGGCCAGGCCGGCCGCAGGAGAGAGTTGTGGTGGAACAGGAAGGTGTTCCTCAGCGGCTGATTTCCATAATAGTAGCAGCGCTTGGTTTCCCCCTGTGAGGAAACAGGCAGAACACAGACATTGCCACACTGGTCACTGATAACTCACCCTGACTTTTCTTGTGCCACTCATTCAGTTTTATGGCAAGCAACAGAGGCATCCTGATATATGCTGGGGCTGGCTGGTGACAATGGAGCCCCAGAGGAACCTCAGGGTTGTGCCAGAAGCCAGCATTGACAATGGGGTACAGCCACTGCCTCCCAAAGCTGCTCATCGTGGGATCCCTGAGCCACTCCCAGGTTGAGCTTTTTTGCTGTAAAGCACCCAGGGCCACCCCCACTGTCACCCACGCAGGACTGACCCAGCAAAGACCACTGGGCCCCATATTTTTCAGCCCAGCTCCTGCATGACTTAGGGCAAGGCATGGACCATGTGACTGAGCCAAGGGCTCGCCACACACAGGTGAGTCTTCATTGTGCTGCTAAAACATGAGGGGCACATGGGGGTTGTCACCTATGGGCCTCCCTGGTGACAAAGCTGTGAGCTTTACCCGTTGAACGGAGCCAGCAGGGCAGGGTGGCTCAAAGCCACAGAGTCCACAGCTCTCTGTAGATCCCTGTGGAGGGGAGAAAGAAACCTCACAACAACTCAATACATGCTGCTGCCTCTCTTGGCTGCTCGGAGCTCTGCCAAGGAAGGGCAGCAAGCCCTCCAGAGGTCCCTGTTCCCAGGCACAGGCTGCATGGGTGGCCCAGATCCTCATTCAGCCCATCCCAGGTGCTCACCGGCAGCTCAGTCAGGGTGAAGTCGTCACACCGAGATCCCAGATCCGGTGGGTCCAACAATCTGTCTATGCCATAGGCAATGCCCCCATTGAACTCCATGTGCCTCTGGATGATGGTGGCGTCACCATTCTCCAGCAGAATCTCCCCCTAACACAGGAAGAAAGGAACTTGTGATTCTAGCACATCCTACATCCTGGCTGCACCACCCAAAAGTGCCTCAGTTTAGGCTGCCATGGCTTCTTAATCACTCCAAGAACTCCAAAATCTCTGTGCATGTGTCCTTGACCACCCTTCCCATTTAACACTTTTCACAGCCACATCTCCTAAGGATGGCCTCTGTCCATGCAGCACGTGCTCTCTGAAGGTTGTGGCACCATGCAGCCAGGTCATTGTGACATTCATGTACACATACCAGACACCTGTGCACTCCCCTGCCAGCTGACCATGTCTTGTGCCTCTCCACAGCCCAGCTGTAGCCAGGGAAGGGGGTGTTCCAGCCTGCAAGCACCCCAGCTCTGTGTCCACTCCCTGCCAGAAGCACCAGTTGCCCCATGGCCATGCCCAGGGACACTTGCTCCATGGGAAGCCAAGCCTGGAGTCACCAACACTCACCACGTGGGCTTTGCTGCAGCTGAATGAGATGAAGGAGCCACGCATGGATCGTACGATTTCAACCTGGGGCATGTTACCAGCAACAATCTAAGAGGGGAAAAGAAGAATGTGAAGGAGAGACTGACAAAACTGGCAGTTCATGTAAAGACATGGTGAGGGCAGGGGTCAGTGGCCAGCCTCAGAGGGGTGTCATGTGGCAGTCCCTGAAGCTGGTGTGGGTGGTACAGATTCCTGCACAGTGAGAGGCCAGTGTGAAAAAGCAGAGCCCGGCTTTGCCCATCTGGACTCTCCCCTCACTCATATCCCTATACACAGGAGCCTGTTTGTGAGCCTTGCAGCTCCCCAGGAGCTGATGACAGAAGGTTTCAGCTCAGCCACCAGAGGTTCACCATGATGCTGTAGGTGCCTGTAGTGCTCAAACAGCTTTGGGTCTTCTCAAGACAAGGGATACACTGTGTGCTCTATGGCAGCAGACTATTCAGCAAGGTCTCTCTGACACAGCCACCACAGACAGTGGCACCTCGTGTGGCCCTGGCAGCTGTGTGCTGTCCCGTTTACCTTGGTGTCCCTGATGATGTGTGCTTTGAGGTAGGAGGCCAGCACATCGCGGTGCTCCCTGCGGTACAGGAACTTCTGCCGGCTCTCGGGGAGGGCGCTGAAGGCGGCGTCCGTGGGCCAGAGCAGCGTGAAGGGTCTGTGCACGGGGTTAGCGAGCAGCGGCAGCAGCTCCGCGTCCTGCCCGACAGCACAGCGACACCAGGGGGGAGCCCCGAGCCCACCGTGACCGTGCCCCGGCACGCAGCACCTCCCTGGGGCAGCGGGGGCAGCGGCTCACCTGCAGCAGCTTGCTGTAAATGCTGTACCCAAAGGCCTCGGCCACCTCCGTGATGTTCTGCTGCACAGGGAGGAAAGCAAGAAACTGATACCCAGGGTTCCCCATAAACACAAGTTTATCTCTGTCACCATCGTGCTGATGGTTTGGCCTGGAAAGGGCTGGCATTCAGCAGCCACCACTTTTCTGATTCATCCTGGATAGACACTGCTATGGCAGGAGCTGGGATGAATTCCAGCACTCTGTTGTGCTGCACAGAAAATGTGTTATATTCTGTAAAATGCAGGCTCTATATGCCCCTAATGCTTGCTTAAGGAGTCACTGAGAGACATTGGCAAACTCATGCTGCAACCTGCTCTGTGCTGGAAAAGGAGTGTAATGGTTGGCATGGGACAAGATCCTCCTGCCTACATCCAGAACTGTTGTTCCCTCATGATGGAAAAGGCTCCTTATGTTCCAAATATCCCACAAATGCTGTCACCTTCACAAGCCAAATCTGTGGCCTCAGACAACCCCTGGGCAGGCAGGGACAGGGAGGAAGAGCAGCCCAGGCAGCTTTGGGCTGAGGCAGCTCTGCTGGGAGAGAGATCCTGTCCCTGAGCACAGCCCTGAGAGCAGGGCACGGCTCCAGCCTTACCTGTGAGAGCTTTGAGATGTTGTGGCCCACCAGGTCACTGGGAATGAGGATCTTGTTGATGAAGTGGATGACCCCATTCACACCCACGATGTCACTGGTGAGCACTGTGGCTTCCTCGTTGAGAGTGATGCTATTCTGAGAGAGAGGGGCCCTGCTGAGGCCTGCACAGCCAGAACCGTGCTGTGGGCCCGGGCAGGCCACCTGCCACAGCCACAGCGCCTTCACACGACAGGAAAGGTGACATCCTGACAAATGGGACAGCAAAGGGAAGTACCTCATTCACTGTGATCTTTATCTTGTGGCCAGATAAAGATGTAAGGGACTCCTGGCCTTCCAGGTCACTAGAGAGCAGCTTCTGGCAGCCCACCATGTGGTAACGAAGCAGCTCCCGGAGGAGGCCTCTGCTCTTCCACTCCTCAAACTGCAGACAGAAAACACAGTGAGGTCACACTAGGGCACTTTGCCTTGCACACAGGGCCCCCAGCCCCAAAGAGGGAGACCTGGACTGCCTGAGTTCCCTCTGACTCATACCTGAAGGGAACATGGTCACCCCAAAATACACTGAAGGCACAAAACCATTTGAGAGCTTTGGGAAATTTCAACCAGCTTGACTAGTCAGTGATGGGGTCAGGATATTCCATCACACTGACACCAAAAAGCTGCCATTCTCTTATTCCTGAGAAGGAGTAAGGGGTCAGTCACAGATGCATGGGAGCCTTGTTGTTACCAGCCCCATGGGCACCAAGGGCCCCACACACCAGTCATCCAGCACAGTGCTTCTGAGGCCCACAAGACATCATCTCCAACAAGAGGAGATATGTCCACCCCTGTCCAGGTTGTCTCCTCAGTGGGATGCCTCCAAACTTCTGCTTTTACACTGATGGAGAAGATCAGTGTAACTCTCCATGGTGCAGCCCCTTAGCCTTGGTTCACTGGGCGGAGCAGTCCCAGGGGGACATTGCCACAAACTGGAGCTGTCAAACACCCAACAGAGTTTGTTTGTTGGCATGGGAGGGCACTTACCACTGTGCTGTTTCCTATGAAGTCTGTCTGTGGGACGAAGACAGTGAAAGGCCCTGCCCCACTGAGCTCTTTGATGTTTTCTGCCTGTGTCAGAAGAGCATTTGTGGGAAGAGAAGCAGAAAACATTGTTCCAGTTAACAAGACCCTTTGCAGAAAGCTCTAGGTGGGATTTACTACACAGACAAGGACAAAGCTGTCACCAACCTGTATCATCCTAAAGAACATGGATGCTTCCGGAATCCTTCCAAGCTCCTTAAACAAAGGGAATCAGCTGGTGTTAGCAGGGTCCCTTCCACTGGTTCGTCCCCAACCAGCACAGTGACCTGCTCCTTCCACTCTGGGTCACTCTCCCACTCCAAGAGACAGCAGTTCTCCTGGCACATCACAGTATCTGCCCTCCCTCCCTCCCCAGCTCTGCAGGCACAGGTGACATGGATGCTGCAGTGAGCTCTGCCTGCACCATTCATGAGTGCTGCAGGATGGAGTGACCAGAAGATGAAAGCTGCTGGTCCTGCAGCACCTCTCATGGGTAACTGCCCTGTGCTCATGGGACACCTTGAGTGCTTCACAAAATCCCTGCTTTAATCTCACTGTGCTGCCACTGCCAGTTCTGGGATGCTGTCCAGAGGGCAGACACACCCTAGAAGAGAAACTCCCTCTCCTCACCACATTGACTTTCAGTAAGAGCAGAGGCACACACAGTCCACCTCTTTTCTCATGGCTCTGCTGTGGGCACTGCTTTATTTGCCACTGCCTGAAAAGGTCACCAGTTTGCCCAAGGACAGCCATTGTACTGGCAGAGAACTGGACACAGACTGCTGCCCTCCAGGCTGGGCCCCAAGTCCTGGCATGGCCTCAGGGGACACCTGCCCTCATCTCACTGGGCAGAAGTGAGTTGTCTTGGGAAAAAACAGGATCACTCCCATTTGTTTATGACATGAAGCAAGCAGTCCCCTGGAGGTATGGCCAATGTTGCTGACAGCAGTAGAGTGCTCCTTCCCTTTGGAGCAAAGTCACTTTGCCATGTCCCATAGCTGGCACACCAAACACACCTATGATTTATGGAGAGGTTGCTCAAAGCACCTGTCTCCTCTCCCACACCACACACGTGTCAATGTGACCCCAAGATCTGAGAGGAGGGAGTGGTTTTGCTGCAGGGCAGGGGACACAGAAGGTGCAGCACAGGCCTCTCACCTGATGCATTTTGCCACGGCAGGTGAAGCCATCTCCAATGTTGTACCAGGAGCAGGTGCAGTTCCGAGTGCCAGGGCCTGTGTACTTACAGAGCGCAAAGGGGCTGCAGCCTCCATTGTTCTGGCAGGGAAAGAAAAAGGCTGCTTGGAGGGGCTTCTCCCAGCACCTGAACTGCTGCTGGCGTGTGGGAGCTGCAAACTCCATCCAGCCCAGTGAAAGGAAACCATCCCTCCCCCATGTTTAGTGCCTTAGAATAAACCTCACCCAAATTCTCAAGGGCTCCCCAGCACCAAATCCTCCCATGAAATAAGACTTTTACACCTCACTTTGGAACACAGGGTCATGACAAAGCCCCTGATTCAGAGGGACAGTTTGACATGGCAGTGATGCCCATGAGCACAGAACACTCTGAGGATTTTGAGCACATCCCACACAAAATGGACACAAAGGAAAAAGCCCACATGCCTCCAACCCTATGTCCCTCTTCCCACCCTGAGGGAATGCTGGGTGACAGACACAACTGCAAGTGACTGCAGGAGGCAATGGAGACCAAACACGCAAGGAAATCCTTCAGTATGTGGAAAAGCCAAACTTCAGTTCCAACCAACCAGGCTAACACTGTTCCTGCTGTTAACTCCTGGGAGAAAGGAACACTCCCAGGCTATGGCCTTCACCTCTGGAAGCAGCTGAATGCTGACATACCTGTTCACACAAGTTGATGGGGTTGCAGTGGCTCACACCATCCCCACTGTAACCAGGCAGGCAGTTGCAGGCAACCTGGAGGGAGAACAGAGCCTTGGGCTCAAACTTGGACCACATAAAGGAAACACACACGGGCTGCCCTGGACAGGAGGCATGTGGTGTAGCAACCATTGCTGCCTCCATGAATAACAAAGCTTATGTCCACAACAAATATAACCCAGGACTGCCTTCAGCCTCTGGCCAGCAAAGCCATCTGCTCTCATGGAAACAGCAATGTTTTCATGCTCTTCCAAGGAACTTTCTCTGCATGGCACAAAGCAGGGCACTGCAATGGACAGAACTGTCTCTAGTGACAGCTGTGACAACTTCCATGATAACATTGACATCCACTTCACACACTCACCTTCTTTGGGCCTGTTTTGATGCACTCTGCATGGGTGTGGCAGCCCCCATTGCTTTCCAGACAGAGATCAATTTCTGCAGCAAAACAAAAAGGTCAAGTTATTGCTGAGGGCTGCTCAAGGCAGCTGGGAACTGGTGATCCAAAGAGGTTTTGGGAAAACAACAGGGAGAACTTTTCCAGCTTGGAGAACAGTTTCTTGGGAAAGTGTCTTGTGATAGCAGAGGAATAGGGTGCAACTGCAAAGTTACTCCTGACACATATGGGTCTCTGAGTTGTGACATATCTGCCACAGAAAATTCCAAGCCTATCTGGGTGTACTTTAAAGAATATGAGAGGACTGGACTCCCCCTAGCTCCATCTTCACCCAGAGCACCACTGTGGGAGACTGCCCTCACCCTCTGTCCCTGGGCCTCTCCATGACATGCATAAGAGCAGGAAACCTTGCAGGAATCTTTTTGTCTGAGACCAAAACTCTGGTGTTTTAGTCTGAAATTCCCCCCAGTATTGATGCTGCTTCTCTGCTACGCCCAAAACACAGCCTGAGCACTCACCCATGCAGAGTGTCCCATCCCCAGCATAGCCTTCCTTGCAAGCACAGGTTCTCTCCCCTGGGGACACCTTGGTGCACACAGCATGCACAGAGCAGCCACCGTGGTCAATAGTGCAGGGATCTATTTCTGTGACCAAAAACAAGAGGAGCTTGAGTGATCATTCCTCTGGCAGCTTCCTGCCATTTATTTCACCTTGTGTTTGCTGGACACACCTGTGCAGTGGGTCCCATTCCCTGTGTATCCAGCGGAGCAGATGCAGGTTGGTTGGGAATCTGTGGAACTGTTGAGGCAGCTGAAACAAGACAGGGATAAACAATCACTGGCTGATAAACACCTCCCGATTTGCTCAGCTGGTGGGAAGCACTGTTCAAATCTGGCACATGCAAGAGACCACAGGAGGCACATTCCAGGTATTCCTTTACAGCTCCAAACACTCCAGTCATGCTGGGCAGGAGCTGGTGTCCAGCCCAGGCCTCCCACAGTGCACCCTCACCACACCCATGGGATTCTGCAGGGTGCAAGGGGGATGGCAGGGTCCCTGCCTAAAAAAGGAGTCAGGATAATGGATGGAAAAGGGAGCATGAGGGAGACATTCCATCCCTGTTTCATTCCTTGGCAGGGCAGAAAGAGCTTGTAAATGGCTGGTTGACTTGCTCCATGAATAAGGGCAGCCTTGGAGTACCTTGGAATCTCTGCTTTCTGCCATCCACTCATGCTGAAGGAACTTAGAATGGATTTATGCCTGGACAGACAAAATCCTTGGGGAGACTACATGTGGCTCAGGTCCAAAGAGAGCTCCCAGAAAGGAACTGACAATTCTGCATCTTTGATGAATAGGCACCTTCTGTCAGTCCTCTGCCAAACCCTAAGCCTGAATCACCTCTGTGTAAAACTCACGCAAACACACATGGATGACTCAGCCCCTCTTCTGCACTTACTTGGCCATTTGATGGCAAGTGTTATTGCATAAGTCAATCTTGATTCCTGCAAGAGAAAATACAAATATAACTTGGAATTTTCAGCTGGGCCATTTCTGCCATCTAGAGAAAAGGAGCCTGCAAACCAGGAGTGATGCTAACTCTCTTGTCCTATGTGGCAGCAGGAAAATCTCATGGGATTTATGTTTTAGCACTTTGCAAGGGAGTGAATTTGATGTTCTCTGTCTGAGCTAATGGTTCAACTTGATTTTATCTGTGTGGCCTCTGCACTGGTCGGAACAAAACAAGGACTGAAACCTTGTTAACCCAGAACACAGAGCCATTTGGCTTTGGCCCTTTTGAAGCAAAAGATGAACTGCTTTCATGCTTGACATTTACACTAGATAGGACAGCTCTGCTTGATTTCTATTTCTAAATTCACAATAAAATCAACCCTTATGTGCAAACCTTTAAAATCTCAAGGTATTTAGAAGCTCAGATTTCTCCTCATCCAAGTGCTAATCAAAATCCCAAATCCATCTTCAACGTATTATTTTGACACACAATGACAGATTTATTGAAGACTGCACACCACGGCCTGAGCTCACCTGAGTGACTCAATGTGTGAGCAGAAAAAGCAGCTCAGCAAACACACTGGGGCCTTTTGAAAATTCAAATCAAGCCCTGACACCTTCTTAGGAAAGCAATAGGAGTCATGACCAACCCAATGTGGCTGGAAGCTCTCATTTCTCTCCCAGAGCAAGGGGCTGTTTCTGAGGTGCCTCTAACCTCAGTGGAGGTAGAAACAGGGGTAGGCTTTTCTTGGTTTACCAAAATAACTCAAGGGCTTGTATGGTTGGGGAAGTCACAGCAAATGCAGCTTGTGTGCAGGAATGAGAAAGCAGAGTCTGCAAATATTTTGGGGGAATGCAGAGTACATGTGACTCTGTGGTCAGAGCAGCCAGAGCTGCTCTGAAAACTCGATAGGATCCCTCAGATTTCTCTGCCACTGGTACACCAGGGGTCCCTCACACTCACGTACTTTCTTGGCAGGTGGGGCCCGTCCAGCCCGGGAAGCACTCACAGCTCCCGTCCCCTCGCAGTCCGTCGTTACAAATGCCATTGTCACAGGCACATTCTGCAGGGGAAGTACAAACACCACTGTCAAACCAAACCAGCCAGGGCTCACCAGCAGAGCCTTGCTGCCATTTCATCGTCTGCTCTGTTACTAATCCAACTCATCAAACTGCTATCAAGAGTATCAAAAGAAAAAGTCACAGGAGTATCAGCTCTTGATCCCTCACTGCCAGGCCAAAAAGCCCAGGAGGAGATCACCTGCCTGTGCTTGCTGTAGTTTGGGTGGCAGCAGGAAGAGCAGCACAGCACATGCTTGGTTTGAGGATGCCAAATGGGGCCACTCCTCTGGCTGGCCCCAGGTGCTCACTCCTGCTGTCTCTGTCTCAGAGACCTGGCAGCCATTTGCCTGTCTCAGAGTCTTGGCACCTTTCTGCTCTCCCACCACCCCCCCCTGAGAGCTGAGAAGTGTCCACCTTTCTGCCCTTGCAAGCAGTTTGACAGAGCAAAGCTGTCACAGCCATCAGCATCACCTGATTTGCAGTCTGCTCCGAACCGTCCCACTTCACACATCTCGCAGGCGGTGCCGTGAAAGCCCTCCAGGCACCGGCACTCCCCGCTGCCCTGGAGCCCATCCTGGCATTCCCCGTTCCCCGAGCACCACCGGCCCGGCTTCCCGGGGCACATCTCACACATGTGCCCGTAGTAGCCGGGGCAGCAGACGGACGTCTGGAAAACCAACAGGAACAAGCTGGGGTGAGCCATCCTGTGCACACAGACACGGCACAGCTCAGTTCCCCTCTCTGTGTGACAGCCATAATTTCTGACAGCACATGGAAGGAACAGGTAGGATGGAGTGAACAGCCTGAAATGAGATGTTCTGTTGTCCAGAACTTCATGTAAAGGTCTGCACTGCCCTTGAGAAACAGGGGCTCTTTGGTGAGTAACTGAAATATCCTGTGCCCCTCCAGCCTGTCTCCTGCCTGTGTCCTCAGAGCAGAGAGAGGCTCTGGCAGGAGGTAATTTGGTTCCAAAACCTGATTTAACTGCTCTCACTTCTGTATGTGTCTACCCATGGAGGGAAGAAAATCATGACAGGACAAAGTTAGACATTACAGATGATGAGAAACAACATCTAATGAAACAATACAAAAGTGCCAAATGAGGTACAAGTGCTGACTGAAACTCTATGTGAGTACAGTAAGGCTAACTCCTCTTCTCCCTTTTCAATTTCCCATTCCCTCTAAACTTTCCAAGTGATGCTGCAACACCTATAAGATGTCAATTCACACAAACCTTTCTTTTACCATCTTCTCTTTAAGTGTTTTCTTCCAGCAACTCATTTTCACAAAACTGGTAGAGGCCCTAACACACACAACATGAGGTGTGAGACCTTCTGCCCCTCCCTTTGGTTTGGCTCCAATGAGTCATCAGTTATTTGGGAAGGCACAGGCACAAGCAGAATACCATCACTCATGCCTCATTTCCTTAGGAAACCAGACTGCAAACATTCAACTCCTTCTCTTCCTCTGCAGGACAAAACCCAGAGCAACAATACTGAAGCAGCAGATCCCAATCCATCACGGTGCAGACATTTCTGCAGATCTTTTGTTGTTCCAGTGCCCTCCACCTCCTGACAGAGAGCGATTCCCAGACAGCCCCAGTCTCAGCTATGCAATGGCACAAACACAGCCAGGATTTCAGCATAGCCTGCACTCCCATGGCTGTGCTTCTCACACCCATCTATCTTGCTTTTGCCAAACTGAATCAGAGGCAAGTGTTTTGCTCACCAGAGAAACTTTTGCACAGGTGAAATGGCAGCCCGTTGTTCCTGCACCCGCAGAGCGCAATCTGCATTTAGCGAGATTCCCTCTTCCAAGGGGCTCCTGAGGATATAATCAACATAGACACACTTAGGAGACACTATAATATTTAGACAAATAGTGTACATTTTTGTGCACATGGCAGTGTTCTTGCTTTGTATCTGACAGGAATAGCCCTAAAAATCTGAACTATCCAGAGCTGAGACCAATGAAGCATCTCTGGATGTGAAGTCACCACACAGAGTCTTTTTTTACCTGCCAAACCCATGGTACACATTAGTCTGCATATTGAGAAGAAAAGAATTGGGAATTTTTGGGTATAGGGTAAAGCAGCAAGGCCTAAAAAGCCAGATGTAGCTGCTAGGCATTTCACAGCCAGCATGGAAATTAAATGCTTAGTTATTTTCCTCTCTGGATATGTTTGCCACTCACTCACAAACAAGCTGCAGGCACAACCAGCCCATCTGCATGAACAAACCAATGGTCCAGACAGGGAAATTGCTACAGGCTCTCTTAAATTGGCTTTCCTTGATGATAATGCCAAAATAGTCAAAGATAAAATAAAATAAAATTTTAAAAAAGACAGTTCTTCTTCCCTGTTAAGTGGGAAAACGAAAGGGCTCCTTAAATTCAGGCAAAACCTGGTGCCACTCAGGGTGGAGCTTCATGATTCATGTCCATGTTTTGCCTGTGTAACTCTCCCTTGGTTTCTGCTTTTTTTTTTTGCAAATCTTGGCAATGGATGAGCCACAGAGGACTCAAGGGCACATTTTTTCAGGTATCAAGATGACACCTATAGAGCAATAAAAGGATCTCAAAGCATTATCTGCAACCATTCTGTGAGCTGTCCCATGAATCCAAGACTCACCAAAAGAACTGATCCAGCAGGACACTTGATCCCCTTGTCGCACTTGCCGCACCTTGACTAGGGCACAGAGAACAGGACAAGTCACCGGTGTTCCCTCACCCACATCACACCAGGACACTAATCTTGAATTGCAAATGCTGCTCTACAGGCTGCTGCCTGGGACAAAGATGTTTTTATCTCTGTGGTTCAAAACACCAAAGAAAAGATCATATGCCACACCTTTCCTGAATCTCAGGGATTTTTGTAGCCCTGGGGTTCCTTCACACAAGGCTGCAAATAGGTTTTTTTCTGTAGCAGGTAGTCTGACAGTGCAATCTTCAGGTTTAGTGCTTAATTGCCATGAGCCACAAGCTGGACTTTTGGCCATGACTCCCAGGCAAAGGAGGGAGCATTTTCTAAGGGAGCTTGTGGTCATGGCATGCAAAAATTGGGCTGGATTTTCCTTCCACAGCTGAGTATTTGGGAGGCTCAGCAAGGGAGCTGAACATGATCTGCACAAGAGCTGCATTAGATATACAGAATCTTCAGGTAGGAGGTGCCAAATCTCCACAATGTGCCATTTCATGAGGCTCATCTGGGGTTACACCACAAGCTACTGCCTCATCCATGAGGGCAGCCAAGGAAGGTTGTCTGTTACCCATCAGTTTGGTTCAGCAGGTGGAGGAACCCTGTGAAATGGTGTCAGCTCCTTGGACATCAGCATTACCCTCAGTATAGTGGTGGTATTGGCAGTGCAGCGATTCTTCTGGACCTGGAGCACCTGGGACACCCCAATCAGGATGCCATTCCTCGTCTCAAAGGACTTCCCATCCAAAGGAATGTTATTGACAAACTTCTGCAAAGGAGGAGATAGCAGCTGAGACAATAACCTTCAATTCCTTTGCATGGATTGCTTGGCAGCTCCAAGACAGTCCAGCAGTAAAATTGTGAGGGTGTGCAAAAGAGAAATGGGAGTATTGGGTCACCAGCCTTAGGAAGTGATAGGTCAATCCAGAACCGCCTGCCTCCCTTACCTGAGTGCTGTTTTGGTAAAACATCAGCCAGTAGGAGAGCCCTAACATGCTGTTCTTATGAACTCCACTTCTCAAGTCTGCAGGCAAGAGCTTCTCTCCCAGAATAATGTGGTACTGCACTGTTTCATTGTCCTAAATCCACAAAAATACAAAGGTTTGGAGTCTTTTGACTTCCTAGATTAAATTCTGTCAGAGGTATGGCATAAGACATGTTCCTAAGCACCTGTAATGCCTAATTAAGCCCACAGAGCCTAGTACCTTTCTGTAACAGATGACTGATCACACTTAATGATTCTGATACTTGATGAACCCATTAATGTTTTTTGGAACCTTTCAGAAGTCTGAAAATTGCCACAGCCAGTCTGGAAGTGGAAGATGTTGTGGCATCTATCCACATAATAATTTACTCTGCCCTTGGGGTCCAAATATTCTTTTCAGGTCCACTGCAACACCCCTGGAAATCCTCTAATTTCTCTGCCACATTTCTCCCAGATTTTAGCATCAGATATTCATCTCCTATGCATGCTGAAATCCCTGAGCTTGTTTACTATTTGTCAGTGTACCTGCCCCTAAACCCACCACAACACATACTCAAGCAGTGAGCTTACCAGCTGGGTGACATTGGCAGCACGGCAGTACTCCTCAATGGAGTTATTTCCAGGAACAAAAATTGTGTATTGTTCAGAGGACTCAATTTTCCCAATGAGCTGGTACTCCTAAAAAATGTCAAACAGTAACATTAGCAATTACCCTTGTACTCACTAAAACCCAAACCACACGTGAGATCAATTACAAAGGCGAGAGGAAAAGCTTGAAAATGGGATGTACAACTTCTACTCAGCCATACACATCTGATTACTTGTTCCTTGTCCTGGCTGACATAAGAGCAGATTCCCAGCTATGAAAAAACCTTCTCTTTATTCTGGTTTTCTCTGTCTTGTACAGACATCAGAGCACCTGCAGTGACAGGTCATCTTCCACTGTAACACATGGCAGTGATCTAGAGATCTCACTGCAATTATGCAACTCTGGCTGCTCAAAAGCTTTATGTAGGACACACACAATCTCCCTTTCTTACCAGGCAGCCCAAATTTATGTCCCCCAGTACAGGGGGAGGTGACATTTGCTCCAAAGACTGCTGTGACAGTGACAGCTGTGCTCACCTCGAGTGCTTACCTCTAGCAACTCCTGGAATGTGCTGAAGGAGGGCACAGTGCTGAGCTGCTCCTGCAGACCAGGAGGGCTCGGGGGGATATCTGCTGGGGACGGCAACAAAACCTGTGGAAAAACCAGGTACAGAGCAAGGCTGAGCAAGGGGCTGAGGGGAATCTCACTGCACTCCTGCCCAGCTTGCAAGAAAGGCAATTAAAAGGCCTCAGTTTGCACAGTCCTGCAATAGCCTGAACTCTTCTACCAGCCAAGAGGAGGGGAACTCTCCTCCCACTGGTCCTGGAGACAAATGCTTTAAACATTGAACACTGCTGCACAGGAAACATCTGTCAGGACCTTGTGATAACCTCATATATTTTGCCTTTATATCCTTTCCTAACCATCCAGACATGTGTTCCTCCTTGGCCCTGTAACAGAGGCTGCTACACAGGCCTGCTGCTACAACTGCAGCATTTCCCAGTGCCACGGGTACTGACATACCTTGCTGAGGACATGGATGATGCCATTGCTGGCAGGGATGTCACTCACAACTACAGTTGCATTCTGGATGGTAAATACCTGCACAAGAACCAGAGGGAGAAGCAAAAGGATCAGGAAGTGCAAAGCAAGTGCAAAACAAATACATTGTTGTCCTGGTTTAGGAATTGTTCATCCAAGGCTGCACATGGTTAATCTGGGTATGGTTTGTGAACGATGCCTGCGTTTGAGGGCACCAGTGTCCCACCCAGGCTCCCCACTGGGAACAGCAGCCCCTCAGCAGTTAAATTTGGGATTGGTACATTTCTTATGTAAGAAAGCCTTACGCCACTCGTGGTGTTTATCTGCCATCTGGTCTGTGGGTTGAGAGTGGGTAATTCTGGCCCGTACTTTTTGAGCTTTTCAGCAGTGAAGACACCTTCAAGGAAGTGGGCTCTGTGGGGAACAAAATCAGATAAAGAAAAGATTAGGGAAGTGTTGGTAATGACAGGGAGATAAGACCATACCACCCAACATTCACATCTCCCACAGGAAGTACTGTAGCCTGTGAGAACAATGGAGAGAATTGTTCTGATGCCATCTGACTGGGAAAATCTCTCTGCAAATACATGAAAAATAAACCCACTTCCCATGGTCTGTGGTCTGGTATGTTTTAAATGCCTACATATTTTTTTACCTGCTAGATATTTAAATTTACTTCTCTATTTATCTCAAGGTATGTCCTCATTGGTCATGCACAAGAAAAAACCCATTTCATGGCTCTGTTACTGTTGTTTGGCCCAGTAAAGCAAAGGCAGGAGGCTCCTCCTACCTGACTAAAAACGGCAGCGTGTAAGGGGTCAACCAGAAATCTTTGTCAGCATTGCTCAAGTTCTTGATAGCTGCCTCTGATGGCACCAGGACAGTGACATTGGCTCCTGCTGGGATGCTGAAGAGAGATTTCTGTTGTCCAAAGCACAAAAATGAACAAATAAGACACGCCACTGCCACATCTACAGTGCAAAATACCCCCAGCAGCCATCCCACCCTCACAGCCATGTGAAAGGGATGAGGAGGAACAGGGCAGTGCTCAGCAGCACAGCAGGGTCTCCTGCCTCTCCTGGGCATGGCAAGCAAGGAATGCCACAGATGCTTAGGCCAAAACAGCTGGCACCTCATTGCCAAGGGAAAACCTGCTGCTTTAAGCTCTATCTTCCCAATTCAGTTTTCTTTCAAACACGTTCAGTCATATCCATAATCCTTTTTGAATGCCCAGCATCAGTTCTGGGGGAGGGACCAAGGTAACTGCTGGCAAAAGCAATTTTCTGTGCAGCAGGTCAGGTGAGCTAAAGCTCAAGTTAGAGGCTGTCCATCATAGTGGGTTTCCACACACTTAGTGCAGTCTCTGGAGGATCTCTCTTATTCCCACATAGAGGGAGGGAGCAGCAATGAGAAAAGGAACAAACCTTCAGTCTAATGTCCCAAAGGGTGCTCTTCTGAAAGACAGTGTTATAATGCTACCCTTGCTTCCCCTTCTGTGCTGTTTTTTGATGGCCAGGAACTTCAGGTGGTACAACCATGAAAATTAGGTGTAACACAGCCCCAGCTTCCTCTTGTGTGAGAAACAAAGCTCCCAAGACACACTCATGACCCTCATTCTACCACAACTCCACAGCTTTTCCACATGCCTGCTCTGTAACCATTTCTCATTTGCTTTGCTTTGTTTTCTCTAAAGAAAAATGTAAATGGAGTTGCTTGTCCTCTAACAGACTCATTCACAGACTTCACTTCCACAGAACTTACCCATGTGGGTGTCCCATGGTTTCTCTTACCTTAACCCAGTTGTAGAAGCCTACAAAGTGGGAATTCCTGGCCAGCTCCTTTCAAATAGAAACAACAGAAGAGTCAGCTCTGCTGAGCACAGGGTACAGGGCTGGGGGACTAGGGGTGGGGGAGAGGAGCCCTTTGCAATATTGAATCTGGCAACAATGACTTCAACATTCTTCTCACTTCACAACCATTACAGGCACCATGTATTGCGAGGAGAGATGGGCACTTCTAAAAACAAACTTCAGCCATTAAAAATATATATTTCCAATTAAACAAACTCTTTTCAACTCATCTGCAATGAGTTCATGTGTATTAGGGACAAAAGATTGAATCCACAATGGCCTTTGATATTTCTAAAGACAAAAAATGGACCTGACAGCTCTGACCTGAAAAACTTTCCTAACAATGAAGGAAAGATGACTTATTGCACAGGACAGGTGCTGCCTGCACAGGGGTGAGGCAGCTTAGAAATTATGCTTTCACTGGCAATAATTAGTGCTGGCATCACTTCTGTGCCTGTGGCCTTGGAATACACTTGGGCTTCACACTGATGCTGTAGGAATCAACTCAGGTAACAGGGAAAAACAAAGAGAGAGCAGAGCCAGTTCTCTCCAGTCTCAAAAAGGCTCAGACATTTGCTGTTCACTAACTTTTAGAATGTCCCCATAGCATGTCATGCCATCCCCAAAGTAGCCTTCAGAGCAAACACAGGATCTCTCTCCTCCACCAAGGGGTACACAGGTAGCCTGCAAATACAAGGAAAGGAAGAAGAAATTAAAGAGCAAAGACAGGTTGTGTAGTGTTACACCCATCTCAGAATTGAATTCTGGCTTTCCAAGGGCTGGGCTAGAGTAGCAGACACAAACTCCTTCCCCCAGCTGCCTTTATGGCAGCACTGAGTGTTCCCCTCATGCAGCCAAGCCTGGCTGACTGCTTTGGTTGTGTGGACCCACAAAAATCAGAGGATCCATCTTTGGAGCACATCAGTGCAGGCCAGTAAGATGACATCATAAACCTTTGCAATTCTCTCAATGCCATGGTTGCTGCAAAACGTGTCAGTGAGCAGGTGAGCCAGCCCTGCCATGCCAGCCTGAGGAGAGCTCCTTAACTACTCACCAGGTCATGGCAGCCACCATTGTCCATGAGGCAGGGGTTGATGGCATCACAGCTGTAGCCATCACCAGCATAGCCCCTCTTGCAGACACACTTGCTCTGCAAGAAAGACATTTCAGTTTTATAGACTTACCAGAGCATCCTCATTACTATCCAAAACATGTCTAAGGCAGCAAAACTTATCCTTAATTTATTTTCCCAAGTTTTCTTCCTGGTACCTCAAGACCTGGAAATGTGGAGTTTTTTCCTTAGCAGGGCATCATCCGCTATCACAGCACACAAGCTGCCAGATTACTTAAGCACATTGATCCCCTGCATTGCTTGGCTGTGGGGGTCACTTGAAGATGATGGTTTCCTCCTTTATTTCCAAGTTTTCAGGGAATGACACAGACTTTGGGAATGGCAGAAAGAGGAATTAATTTCAAAGCTTCCTGCTTTGAAGATATCTAGGAGAGTACTTGCACATCTCACCTCACTAAAATCTGCTACAGCTTTTGTACCTTTTTTCAGCACCTTGTGCAATGCTCCCCATGCTCAGGGGGAGAAGCAGCACCCTGAGAAGTCTCCTCTCCCATGCACCTTCCTCCTCCTCCTTTAAGAGACTGCACAGACTGAACAGCTCACATGCTCTTCAATGCTGTCGTCTGGGACAGGGCCATGCAGCAGCTGCTGCCTATGGTCAAGCTGTGTTACAGAGTGCAGTCCTGTCCCTTTGCTGCACAAGTCCCAGAGTCAAGCACCTTCCTGAGCACACCAGTGCACCTCACATGCAAGTGCACTGTGACGCTGCAGCTGCAGCTGCTGTTTCTGGCAGTGGACAAGCAAGCATGGCTGCTGGCCAGCCCAGTTTTGCCTGTGGCAGTCCAAGGCCACCTGAGAGCAGCTGAGGGAGTGTTAGCCCCAGCTCCAGGCTGCTCAGCTCTGCTCATACCTGCCCAGGCCCGGTGTAGATGCAGTTGGCGTTGAGGTGGCAGCTCCCTCTGCTCTCCAGCATGCAGTTGTCTATGGGCACACAGACCTTGCCATCCCCAGTCCAGCCCACATTGCACTGGCAGGTGGCAGTGCCAGGGCCTGTACTGGTACACAGGGCCTTCAGGAGAAGGGACAGAGAAGGAATTATACCCGGCAGAAGGGAGAGAGTGCAATGAAAACACAGCAACAAATCTCCTTCCTCACACTGTGGAGAATTTCTGACTGACCGACTCTGATTACAACACTGGGAACTGGGGGTGGAAGCATCTTCTCCAGAAAAGTCATAGAAAATTTCATAATGAAGTGATTCTGGAGACATTTTGTGTTTTCAGAGAGGTAGACACTTGTGTCTAAGGTGACTCAGAACTCACAGGGCATTCATTCATTATCATTGCGTAAAGCTCTTCCATTACACAATAAAGTATTCCCTGAAGAGGGGGACCACAATCTCCTGCCTGGATTTCTGAGATGGAATCAATGATAGATGGCAGATCTCCCTCAGGAAAAGACCCGCTTTGTACCCAGTGCCATCCTATTCTCTTGCATATGGCCCAATCTCTTCCTCTGACTGAAGGGTCTAATTTATGATGAGGTTTGACCATTTGGCAGTAATTTCCAACATGAAGCACCACATGGACACAAATGTAGTGTTGATGGTTACTGGGAATACGTGTTGGATCTCACAGTTAAGCTACAGAGAAAGTAACGTGTTAGAAGAGCTTGAGGGGCTTTTTATCATTGCAAATAAAAAATTATCTGTACAGCTAATCTGTGCGGCTGATAAAATATCTGGTGTGAACCAGCCAAACTATCCTTGGAGTGTCACATTTTGGCACAGCCCAAATGATTGACATCTTTACAATGACTACGCCAAGGCACTTGTTATTCCACCTCATCTGACAGACAGGAAAAATTAGCCCACAAAATGTATGACAGTCCCAGGAGCCCTGGATCCCTGTTCTGATTGAGAGGAGCTGCCTCTCACTCTTCAGTCTGACCCCACTTACATTCTGTGAGCAACCTCCTCGTCCTGGCTGACTGCACAGGTCGATGGGCTGGCAGGAAAACCCATCCCCTTCATATCCATCCATGCAGATGCACCTTAAAAGTATAAACACAGAAGGGACACAGGTAGAGCAGTCTCTCAAGCAAGCAAGATTCATTACTAGCAGGCTGGCTGAGTCACTCAAGGCATGCTGTGCACCAAGCACACAGACACACACAGCCACAGGGGTGGCAGCCCTGTACAGTGGCAATGTGCCCTGAATGTGCCACAGACTGACCTTGCTGTGTCATTGAGGCTGCAGACAGCGTGCTGGTGGCAGTACTGGGACAGCCCACTGGGGCCACAGTTCCTGGAGGTCTTGTCACAGAATTTCCCAGTGAAGCCTTCCTTGCAGGACCAGGACTGACACACCCCCCCACTGCCAGGCCTGTTGTCACAGACACCATGGACACAGCCACAATCTGTCAAGGACATGCAGTAAGATCAGTGAGTACAGAAAGCCCAGAATCCACCACAGTCATAGATTTCCAACTTTCCTTCACAATCTTTTGTGGCACCAAATAATCATTCCATTATTTTTTTTGATAGAGGGGATGTCTGCTGAGAGACATCCATCACAAATCAAGTCTGGCCAGGGAACAGATCCTGAGACTGCCTGGGTCTATGTTTTCTATAGGCTGTAAGAACAGACTCAAATTTAGGCTATCAAGCTCAAGGTCATTGTCAACTCTCTTTTGTTTCCTAACAGGAGAGATCTAAATTAGGCTGATGTTTCATCACTGAAATATCACCACTCTCATATCAAACATATTTTCTCCACTGTTGTTTGAAGGGACACACATGATGACATTTCTGTCACTTCTTTCATGATGCTGGTCTTGCCAGAATGGAATCCCATATATATGAATTTGCACCATTATCTTTGTTCTAAATTTTCCTTTAGTCTTTCCATCAGAGTTACTAACCTTCATCACAGTTCTCGCCATGCTTGTTTGGGTTTGCACAGATGTGGCAGGCTGTGCCTTTGAAACCTTCAAAGCAGAGACAGTTGCCATTCCCTTGAATGCCATCACTACACTGGAAGGAAAACAAGAAAAAACCAAAGTGATTGAAACTCAGAGAAATGCCAAGGCATTAATATCCATCAAAGGTACTTTGATACACACAGTAACAAACAGGACTTTGAAGAGTGGTGGTAGTAATACAAGATCCCACACAGCCAGAGCTGTGCCCAACAGTCATAACCTAATTCTCACTAAATATATGCCATTATCCTTGGATCTTCTGCTACCACCTCTGTGGGGTTATCCCTGGAGCACAAACTCTGAGTTGTACTTATCTCAAACTACACTGATGCACCTGCTCGTTGCAATGCAGAAGGTTCCTTCACACTTACATTTCCCCTGCCATAGCATGGGCTGGAAAATCCCCCAGGGCATGGCATGCAGTCTGGACCAAAGAACCCTTTGCAGCATCCAGGTTGCTGAAAAAAAAAGCAAAATTGATAAGGTATGACATGACTTAACAAGAATTTCCTGGAGTACTCCTGTGCTCATAATTCTCAAATTCTGGTCCTTGTCTCTGCCATGGAGGGAAACAGAATGTTGTATTTAGCATCTGTGTTTCTTAGGAGCTCCTGCATCTAAATTATTTTTCAACAATGACCTTTCCAATTCTTCTCAGAACAAACCATTATTTTCTTCTTACTCTGTGACTTCAACACATGGGATGCATGTTTTTTATGGACTTTTAATTCTTTAATAGCACTGGTCCACTCACTTTTACTTTATCCTTGCCCAGAACTGCATTACTGAGGAGGGATGGAGCAGTCCTAGATAGCAGGCCTTGTCATGACTGACCAAAGGAAGAACAATCATAATACAAACAATCAGCAGTATTTAATGAAACATCCACAAATCATTACATACAGTTGGCACTGCGAGAGCTCAGGATCTGCACACAAACATGAGGTCCATAAATTGACTAAGACAGACTTTCCTGAACCATCTGACAGTGGTTCATAAACAGGATGCAATCACTTCACAGCTTATAGCACTTTCTCTGTGCTCAGCTTCCTCTGGGAGAAATGCTAAAGCTGGCACACTCCAGTTAACACTACACAATCATGGCTTCCTTATTTTATTTAGCTGTTGCACTCAGGTTTAACTGAGCTGCCTTCTAACATCTGCAGTAGGTTGGTACCCTGTGCTCTCCTGGACAAAGGAAAAGCAGGTAGCTCATTTATGTGATGTCCTGGGGACAGTTTTCCTTTTGCTCCCATCCAGCCCCCTGCCTCAGGTCAGAGCTGCTCCTGGTGAATGAGGAAGGGCAGAACTGAGCTGTCCCAGAGGGAATGTGTTCCTAAATACCACTCACCGTGATGGTTTGATTGCAGTACCTGGCACACCCCTTCTTCAGGACATTCAGGCCTTGTGGATCATGGATGTAAACACATTCCTTGGGGGACAGTGTTGGTTCCTGCACAAACAAAACAAGCCACCAGCACTGTCACCTTCCCCTTGGCTCTTTCTGCTGCAGAGAGCAGCTGTGCCTATCTCTGAGCTGGGGAAGTTCACTGGGGAGTCAAGGTGAGCAGCACACAGCTGGGGCAGGCCTAGGATGGACCAAGGCACACAGTGGCCTCCTCCTGCTCCCAAGAGTCCCCAAGCCTGAGCCAAGGTGCTGCCCACTAGTTCTAACAATAGCATCTGTGATAAGGGAGAGAGCAAGCACAGGGGAAGGAAGGGAGGGAGAGGAGACAAGAGGAGATAAGGGCAGCAGGGAGGAGAAATAGAGGGTAGGAAAGAGGGGAGGAAGAAGATAGGAGAGGGGACAGGGGAGGAGGGAGGGATAGTGGGGAATAGAAGGAGTAAGGAGAGAATTACACAGTGAGGGAGGGAAGGAAAAAGACAAAGGTGAGATGAAGAGAGGAAGACATAAGAGGAAGGGTTGCAAATAACATTGGAACAATGCTCAGTGACCTGTCTTGGAGTTGGGCATAGGTAGAACTGGGCCTCAGGTGATTCTGACTTTGTCAGCCTCAGTCAGAGAGGCGAATGAGCAACTGGTGATTTTGCAGATCTCTACTTCAGACATCCCTGCTGAGACAGCATTAGCAAGTTCCTCTGAAAGTCAGACCTCTCAGGGGACACTCAAGAGTTTAAGGGCGGTGAGCACCTCTCTGGCTTTCACAAACAACATCTTGGGTCTGGCCTTCCCATTGCCATTTCCTGGAACTTGCTGTTCTGCTAACCTCAGCATGGGATAACTCAAACAGCAACACTCCTCCTTCCTCCACCTTCAGCTAGCTCTGCTCATCTCTGAATCAACAGGGAACACAGGCCAGGAACAAACTGTTTCTCAGCCTCTGCAGAGCAGAGAGATTGTTGTGATTCTCTGGCTGTGATATAGGCAGAGGCAGTACTGGATGGTACTTGTGGAATCAGGTTTGCTTCTGAGACTCTGGAGCAGCTGGCAAACCTTGCATGTGGGCAGGAAAGCTCTGCCTGAGGCAGAGTAGAAGTGCTAAAAGCTGCAAGTCTACAATTTCATTTAGATCAGAATTTCTCACCATGCTCCACATTGATTCATCAAGCAGACTTCAGAATAAGAGAGTGCACAGAGCAGTGAGTGGGCAACAGTCTGGGACCACAAGGCTTGGATACAGAACCCCTAGCAAGCCTCTCTGCTGGCTGCCTTTCCTGCTCCCTATTTATTTGAAAGTGGCTTGAGTCAGAAACTGTCAGTGTGTCTGTTTGTTATTATACAAAGAAATTACAGAAATAACTACAAATATTTACCATTTCCTTGCTGCCAGGTGGGCAAATGCTGTTGTTGAGGGCTTCACAATCCACACAAGTGCCCTGTTAAGAAAAGAAGAGGCAAAAATGTAATCTTCTCAAAGGAACCCCTTCCCCATGCCAAGAATGCTACAGAGCTACTGTTCCCAGTATATATATCCAAAACCACACAAAATGTATCTGAAATATTTAACTACTATCAGTTTCCATTCTCTGAAAGGAGCCAAGTTTATCACTTAAATAAAATCTTCATGTGTCCAAGCAGATGTTTGCACCTGCCTGAAGCTGGGATCTATCTTCACTCTCTGAATTTCTCTGCCACTAGGCATCCTGCTAGGCTGGAAATCTTTGGGAATCCAAGCAGCAAGATTCGCTGAATCAGCAAGTTATGTGGACACTCTGGCCCCTTGGGATTCACTGTGTCTCTCCAAATCCAAATTCAGTCTCATTTTCTTTCCTCAGTAAGCTACCAATGATCAAACTGGGGAGCAAGCACCTCAGCTAAGGTCTATGGAACAGTTTGTGTGAGAATACTGCACAGCATTTGTAGGTCCTGCTGCTGAATCCCTGCTTCCTGTCCAGGCTACAGGACACCAGTGGGACAGAGATGGGAACAAAGCACTGTCAGCTGAGTCAGCAACTCTAGTGGGAAGAAGATCACATAAAGGAAAAGGCAAATTTTGTACTTTGGAATCCAAGGTAGGATGGGGGCACAGAAAGAACAACAACCTACAAGGAACATGTGCTGATTAGCAGGAAAGCAGTGCCAAGTGCAAGCAGAAGAAACACTGACAGCGCTGCCAAAGTTCACACCAGGGGAACTCTCAGACAGACCACGTTTCCCAAATGCAGTTTGCACAGCTTGCTTTTGGCCCTCCAGGTGAGTGTAGGGTGCACAGCAAGCACCAGCCGTGCTTGGGCATGAGAATGGAAGGAGCTGACTTACCATCACAATCTTATGTTGCTCTTCATTGCATCTGTGAGGCAAAATGGGAACGATTGAAGGAGGGATGAAGATGCCATCCAAAGTATGAATAATACCATTTGAAGCCACAATGTCTCGCATTTTTAAGGGGATCCCTGATTCATCCATCAGAATTCTTCCCTGATGTAGAACACAATTTTAGCCCATTAGACAGGATCAAATACATAAAGCCAATGTGGGAAGCAGATGGTTCACAGCATCAAGGGAAACCACACAAATGATCAAGACTCCTAGTGGAGTCACAGATTGGATAAGAAGCAAATTAATTCAATGACCTCATTTAAAACTAGATTTTTAAGCAGAGGAGGAAGAAGAGATTGGCTGAAACCACATAGTTCAGAACCACGTGCAGACTTTCTCCAAGCACAGAAGGGCTTGCCCCAAAGGGTTTTGATTCACACTTACATCTGCACTGATGTTGATGGTAAGTATCTGGTTAGCCATTGTAACAATGTGTGGCATCATTATCAGTTGCTCTACTGCCACCTGAAATAAAACACAAGGGGGTGGTGTACCATGAAAAATGACCATGAAAAGGGTAATTTCAGTGTAGCTTACAGAATCCCTCCATGATTCCTGCCACTTGAGAAACTTCTGAAGGGGACTTAACGTTTACATTTCATGAAATACCATAAAAACAAGCAATGGGTCAGAGGGTAATCCAGGACTTTGTGTGAACTGTTTGCAGCACCACAAACACAGCAGCTGCCTTGGTTTTCATTCCTTGTTTAGGTAACTGTCCAGCACTACTGAAATCAAGTCCCACTAGCAGTGTCTCTTGCTAATACAGCTGCAAGTAGGGTCAGACTAATAATGGTTTTTTCTAGGACATATTCAATAAACAATGAAAGTTCAGCCAGAAGCATAATAGAGAACATATTTTGACTGAAAAAATAAGCTCTAAGGCAGAAAAAAATGTAAATTGCAGCTTCTGTACTTAGAAATGTAACTATTTAAGTAGAGAGTTCTGAGAACCCGGACAATTCTTATTTTTGTGAACAGCACCAAACTCTGCTGGACAATATTTTCATTGTAAAGGCCATCCAACTAGGGAGCACCAACACTCCAGAAAACTCAAGAGTTCCTTCATGGAGAGAGAGCACAGCTGTCCCTTTTGGCAACTCCTTTCATGGCAAACACTTTGCCTCATCAGGTCCTGCAGAGTCACATCTCTGCTCCTCCAGGGGAAGTCCCAGAAGCAGCAACTGAAGTCACCAACACTGAGACCTCTCTGCCAGACAAAAGGATTGCTAAGGGGTTGCTCTGAAGGAGCTCTGGGGTCAGAGCTGCCTGCCTTACCGCTGCTGAAGTGTAGATGTGATGTTTCACCAGCTCCTGGAGCTTATTGATGCCCTAAGGAAAGAGAACATGAGAATTAGATACCCCTTCAATGCTCAGGAGGAAGAGGAAGCAACTACATTTCCTTCTAATCAGAGATTGACAATGCCAATGTCTATAGCAGTGAATTCACTTGGTGAATAAGTTCCTTCATTTTCCCCTGCCCAAAGCTGGGTGAGGAATGAAAGTCAAACACCAGATTTAAGCAATCTGGCTAACCTGTAAGCTCCATCAGCCCCCACTTCTCTCCTAGAGCCTTACAGAAACAAAGACATGGTTTGGCCACCCCCAGGAAGAACAACTTTCAGCAATGACCAGATCCATTGCACAAAGCCAGTCCAGCACAGCCCAGGGCAACTCAGCCAGCTCAGGATGCCTTACAGTACTATGGGCTCCCACCTCTGTGAAAAGATAAATGAGCCTTCCATCTCTCAGCTTATCCACAGCATCATTGCTGGGTACAAACACAGTGAAGGGGCCTGGTCCATCCAGTATTGCAGGCAGGCCACAGTTCTGCAAAAACAACAGAAGATTTCATCATGGATCTAACATGGGTTACTGAGGGGGGTCCAGCAGAAGTGAGAGGAAGTATTAAACAGCTCAATATTAAAGGCAGATCTGTTGTAAAGCAAAATGTGCAAGAGGCAACTGGACACCAGGGACAGGGGTGTGATAGAACAGAAGTGTAAGTGCCACAGAACCACAGCTGGGACAAGGAAACCACTGGTGGGAGCACAGCAAATATGAACAAGGGAGTTCTGGTCTAATGCTCCCTGCATGCTTTAAACACAGAGACACTCAGCTGTGGTCAAGAACTAAATATGCTCTGGAGAACAACTCTGCAGGGACAAGGGGAAGATGGGAAAGAGGCATGTACCCTTACTCTTGTGCCAGATCCCTTACAAATGTGAAAACTCCAATATTTTCCATTACATTTCCTTAGGTAAAATAAGAAAATAAAGACCAAAAATGGCACAGAATAAAAGATCCAGAAAGGAAGCCAAAGCACTGAGATGTATTTAAATGCTATTCAAAATTCCCCCCAAACGAGCAGCTGGTTTTGTACAGCAGCAATACCTCATATCTTCTTGGGCAGATATAAACTTGCTTACCTCCAGTATAGTTTCAAATCTACTGAAAATCTCCATTGAGGCAAGGATCTCACCAATGGTTTTCTGCAAGAAGATACAAAGAGGAAAAACATGGCTGGGGCTGATGCCATACTGGTCTGAACAAATACTGGAAGGCCAAGCTTGTGGTTTGCATGTAAAGATCTACAGGAGACCATCATCCTCAAAGGGATGGGCACAATCTAATGATTATTTGTTCTCATTTAACACACAGACAACTTTTTGATTATAATTTCAAAATGCACTACAGGCCAATTAAAGAAAATCTGAGTTTGATTTTTATGTGAAAAATACTTTTCAATACTAGTCCTGTAAGATACATATTCTGATAAATACAGCAGCAGAGGAGCTCATTTGCTATGATTTTATTCATGAAAGTAGAATTCTCTTCTCATCCAAGCACTGTAAAAGCACCATTGCAAGATTTTTATCTAGCTTATGCAGTACTATTAGCTACTTTAAAAGGTATTTTAATAATACCTAACAGGCCTAATCAGAAATGAAGACAAAATAAATAGCCTTTCCCCTTTAAAAGAAAGCTTCACTGATTTGGAAGATTAATGATGAAAATTGCTTTTAAAAAAATGTTTATTCTGCTGCCCCATAGAAGAAAATAAATATGAATGCTTCTGTACCTGTGGGTTTCTGAGGTTGTCAGGGCTGGTTTTTTTCCTGAGGCTGTTGACAATATGTATGATGCCATTGGCTGCTGGGAGGTTTGATTGCAAGATGTTGTACAGTTCCCCTGGCAGATCTTGATACCGGAAAGATTTGATGTATGTCTGGGTGATAATAATAATAAAAATTAATAATCATAATTGTAATCACCATAACAATAACAATAATATTGATGATAATTTATTTCCTTGTGTTTCATCTGTGTTACCATGATACAGCTATAAACCAGTCCTTACAGCTCAGCAAGGGGAAGGCACAGCCAGAGCTACTCTTGAAAAAGTAAATGTAAGGGATGGCCTGGGTGTAAGACAAGCATCCCACCCTACTTGAGTTTGGGTGATATTTTGATCCTGAGTGGTACTTTCAAGTCTTAATACAGTAAAAAAAGACCTCATCTGGGACACCCTGCTCCAGAATGAAGTTTGAGTGTGAGCAAGGCTTGATCACAACTCTGGATCACAAAAGGATGTCCTGACCACTGCATAGCTGATTTGGAGGCAATCCTGGCAGTGCAGCTTTGACTGCAGCTTTTATTAATTCATTGTGCCTACAAGGAGTGTTCATAACAAGTCCAGAGCAGTCAGGCTCACTGAATTACAAGGCAGGTGTCTGGTGCCTTCACTTTGTATGGATCCATGCCCTGCAGCCTGTGTGGGAGAGTGTCCCAAAGTAAGCATCCAAGCCTTGGTCTGCAGCTGTGATTCAAGTTCAGGGAAGCACAGCTTTCCTGTGCTACTCATTTCACCATGCGCATTTTGAATTGCTCCTCCCTGCCCTAAACTTCAGTTCACATCACCAAGGACTGAGTCTGAAACAAAGGAAGGGGAGTGAAGACTTCCCAGATCAAAAAGCTCCTAAGTAAACAAACAGGAAAGAATTTTAAAAGGAGCATTGACACACTCAGTTCGGATTCCCCTGCTCCAATAGTGCTTTGTCCTTTTGATGTATTATGACCTAGACCTCAAGGCCAAGGCTGGATCCTCAGGGAGGAAACACAGGGCTCTCTCCCTTGGCCACCTGTGGGTTTGCAGGAAAGGCCCAGGATGGAGAGAGAAGGCAGTGGATACCGGAAAATGTGAGTCAATTGGAAAAGGAAAAAAGAGCCTTCCACGTCAGAACACAACAATGAAAACTTCTTTGCTAGGACGACTAAGGAAAATATAATAGAGAGGAAAAGAGAAACTAGAAGAGGAAATATTCATCATGTGGCTGTGTCCAAGCACACAAACTCCAAGGGAGCATTCAGTTCTGAAGGGAGACTTTGTTGCCTCTTCCACATCAGCCACACGGATATTGTAGCTGCTGACAGTATAGGGAAAAGGTCTCTCCTCCAGAACATTGTGCACATAGAGAGCATGGAAAGACCATTCACATGTCAGATTCTTGGTTGTCTGTGAGACAGGAGATGTGGTTGCTTGGGGTGTCTGGTCTTAAATCACCTTGCTTTAGACTACACAAAGGAGCTTCTTGTTTTGATCACAGAAAAAGGTTTTCTGGTGAAGAAAGCCCATCAAGGAAACCATGTTCAGCCTGTCCTATGTGAAAACAGTGCCCCAGACCCTCAGGGGTTCCTCACCTGGCTACTGAATGTCAGCTGATGTCCTGACAAGGTCCACATAGTCTTGGCTTTTATCATGTCCTCTATCAAGTGCAGACCAGGAACAATGTGCATTTTGCACAACTGCTCAGCAGCTGTGTCCTTTGGGGAGGAAAGCCCACATAAAAAAGAAAAATTACATGTTCTTTCAAAAACTTCATTTACCACAACACCACCTTTCTCCCAGCTAACACACCCACAGAAATTCTTAGCGTACAAGACTGAGCTTTCCTCTTCATTTTGATTCACTGGAGTAGCACCCTGGAAAACTCTCCTGTTTTTCTGCACATCCAAGAGGGAGATTGATTGACCTGCAAGTGACTTTAGAGCAATCCTCTGGACAGAAACCCATTGGACTTGGACAAATTAAAAATTATCCTTGCACGCTCCAGATTATAAAATTTGCCAAAGCTCCCCAAGTGCAATCTTTGCCTATGCTGGACCATGCAGGTGGTCTAATCTGCTGAAATTACATTTAGCTTCTTCATTTTTTCTCTGAACTTATCATCATTGCTGCTTTTTAGAAAAATCTTCTGTCAATACTGATTTAGGTGAAACTGATCCTTGGGGAACAGGTTGACTGGATAACTTGGGGCCCTCTCCTGATGCATTTTCTATGGATCCAGAAGTTAGTATTTTTAACCACAGTTTGAATTTCCAATACATTGGTGTAAAAGTTGGCCCCTTTTGAAAGTCACACCCACAGGTAGTAAAAAGCCACTTAAAGTTTTAAGAACAGTCATACAGAAGAGTGACTTTCCTGACATTGAAAACAAACAAAAAAACTCTGTCAGTATTGAAGAAAGAAATAGAGTTTTTAAAAATAATGTGAGGGATGTAACATCCTCTATAAGGCTGCAACTTAACCAGACAATGAAAAGTATTCCCAAGAGATGATTTCTATAAACAGCACATGCTAAAGTTCCTCTCTTGTGTCAATCAGTTTTTACAGGCTGCAGAGCTGAAACAGGAAAGAACCTTAAGACAAAAATTTGCTAAAATCAAGAAAACTTACATTGAATTCCATTCTGTCAAGAATGGGAAGAAGGGATGGTACAAAGACTGTGAAGGGCCCATATTTAGTCAGCAATGTTGAGCACCCAGAAGCTGTAAAAAGAGGGGCAGTGTGAACTAGTTAGGCAGTGATGGTTTAACCACAGCAATAAAAATATTTCTCTTGTTAACAGCACAGTTCAATCTACGCAGTATCAGCCTGGTGCAAGCAACAAGTATTCATTTACAAGGAAGCAGAGGGAGTTTGGCACTGCTACCCTGTCCCCAGCTTGCTCCATCCCCCAAGCAAAATAAAAAAGCATTTACCAAACATTTTCTTGGCGACGTTGAGCTTCCTTATAAACCTTCCTCGCAAATTCTGCTGATTTATCTCACCCAAGAGATCTTTATAGCAACTTCTCCCATCTCCAATCTCCCCTTCTTTACACACACAGCTATGAGGCAAGGATGAAACATGACAAACCATTGTAAACCAGTTTGCAACACATTCAACAATTGCCAAGTAGAACAACATGTCAGTATCTACACTTGGAAGACCAATCCCAGTTCCCACATCTTAGAATCATAGAATGGTTTGGGTGGGAAGGAACCTTAAAGATCATTTAGTTCAAACCTCCCCTGCCATGGGCAGGGACACCTTCCACCAGACCAGGTTGCTCAGGGCCCCACCCAACCTAGCCTTGAACTCTTCCAGGGATGCTGAGTAACTTCTGCCTAAACTGAGTGACAGGAAAAAAGATTCACATTTCTGACAGGAAAGCCAATTTGTATCTACCCAAAGAGAATGGAGATGCACCTTTCTCAGATACAAACAACATAAGGGTTGTCTGCTCTAAAGTTCAGAGTACAGATTGCCGCAATATAATTATTGGCACCTTTTTTAATTAGATATTTAATCCGTTGTAGTAATTTCAGCATCTGAAAATCTGAGGTAATGCATAAAACCCACAGGCTAAGTGATGATCTATCAAACAGCCCCTGTGTGCCCCCTTGGCTGCAGCGAGAAGCCAGCCCAAGCACACCAGGTAGCTACAGTTCATCTGGAGCTCACTGAGGGCCCCATACAGGTTAATGACTTTTCCAGAAAAGCTTATCTACATGTGAAAATCTCTGTCCTGGTTCACACGGGTTTGCAGTCATCACTCAGAAACTACCAAAGCTGTTTTTTCCCGTTTGGGCTTTGTCCAAGTATCAGCTCTGCTCTTTCTGTGTCAGCCATGCAAAGACATGCGACACAGGGGAGGAATTTGACTCCAGTCCAGCCTCAGAGGGCTCAGTGCCAGCTGCTGGGGAACAGATCTGTAAGGCAGGGACTGCACTGAACACTCTGTCCTGCACTGTGATAGCACATCTTCAGAAAGGGAAGTCTCTGTGCTTCAGTCTTGGCCTGGAGCACACAATGAGCAAGTGGATGCTAATAGTTTTAGCAGCATTGGAGAAGGAAGGATCGAGGAGATGGGACTGCTCTTTCCCTCTTCAATGTCTCAGAAAAGCTCTACCTTTTCTTGAAAACACGTAAAATTCTCAGGGAAGTTTTCTCTGGTGTTTGAGAAGCCATTATGCAAAAATGATCCTCTATCCAGCCAAATTTCCTATCTAATGGGTGCAAACTTGTAGGTGTTTTGCTGCAAAGGACTACATGAGGTTTGGTGTTTCTTCACTCAACTTACCCCTTCTCTGTCACTCTGCAAACCTAATATATTTACTACTTACAGATCTGTCTAGGAGAAGAGACAAAGTCTTATTCCTCATTATCAAATATGCGCAAATGTGAGCAAACACCCACACATCTCCCTTTTAACTTCTACCACCACTAGCCTGGGGAGCTACACCTCCAGCTCACATCAAAGAAGACTCCGCCACTCCAGATTTAAAGCATTTTGTAACCCATGTGCAATAATTTACAATGACTGATGTCAAACTCTTCTTCCAATAGGTTTGTTACAAACAGGTTCTTCTCAAAAGGTGACTCTGGCCTGTAGTCCTGAGATCACCCTCAGTTTCTTCAAAATTCAGCTCATCCAAACCAAGTTTCCATTCTAGCTGCAGGAAAAGTTTCTTCATTTGCAGTTTTCAAAGTGGCTTACCTAGGAGTCCCCTGAGCGTTAATTTCACAGGTGGCAGTCACGTCGCAGAGGTACTGCCGGCAGTCGCTGGGAAATGCCAAACACTCGGATGAAGGAGGTCTCCTGCTCATCCCAGGCTTGCAAACACACGTTGCCTAAGGGAAGGAAACACAGTGATCACAGTGCTGCATTCACCATCTTTTACTCTGTGAGTAATCCTACAAAAGAGCTGTCTGGTTTCCCTTTGCATAATCTGAGGTGAGGAGAGCAGATTTGACCAACACATTCATCAGTTCATGAGAAGATCTCCCCTGGCCAATTTTGGCTGTTATTGCCCTTACCTCTCCTGGACGTCTGTAAACACAAATTGTGGAGTTTTCTGGGCAGCCTCCATTGTTGTCAACACAAGGGTTGATGGGCTGGCAAATCTTTCCATCTCCTTGAAATCCTTCTTTGCAGGTACATTCATATGTACGTGGTCCAAGGACTTTACATACAGCAAAGGGGGAACATGGAGAAGGAGTACAAGGATCCTGAGCTGCAATTAAAGAGATTAGAGGTGAGCAGAACCAAACTTCTGTTTTCAAAACAGCACTTAATGCAGCACAGCACACTGTAAGGCATGGAAAGAATGTAGCATAAGGAATTTGTACTGTTAAACTTCTAAATTTTCACAGGGAATGAAATCATTCCAGACAGCAGACATTTGGGGGTTTTTATTCTGAGGAATTTGGATGACACATTTTCCATGTTACTTCAGTAACAGAAGTGTGAGTGACAGAGGATGCTTGGATTGGTTCTGAATTTGCATCATGTCTGAGAATACATGAAACTGCAGTTTGGTCAGCAAAACCTGTAAAGAGCCAGTGAAAACATCTATCCATAGCTACCTGATCACATGCATCTTATCAACGTTCTTTTAAGGAAACCAATTCAAAAACTTGAATTTGAAATCAGTGAAGAGCTCCTTTGACTCCACACTTTTTAACTGGTTCAGACTCACCAACATCCTGCTGTCACTACTTAGTGCATAATTATATGTGAGTGCTGGATGGAACCTGAAACTCCAATTCACTTCTTACTTTTCTGACCAAGTGAGAAGAGAGCTAAAAGCTTAGCCCTTAATGTTATGTGTATTCCTGAAAAAAATGGGTTTTAAACCTCTGCAGTGAAGTAGGCATTGTGTTCACAGTAACCAAACTCCTCTGCAGACAGCAGTGTGACAGGATTTTTCCCAAACAGGTCCATTTAGGGTCACAGAGAAGTTTCTCACCTTGGCAAGTGCTGCCCTGTTTTCTGTAGCCCAGCTTGCAGTCACACAGGGCTGTGCCATCCCTCACCACGCACTCACTGTTGGCCTCGCATGTCACACCTTTGCAAAGGGGGAGCTCTGCAGTCACACAGCAAAGAGAGTTTCCCTTTGAGCATGTGGGGCACTGGTAGGAGATATAATTCACCTCACACAATATCTGGAAATGAAGGCAAATGTGGATTCCGAGGACCCCAAACTGGCACAAAAGCCAGAGGATATGAGCAGTGCAGGCCGCTCTAAGTTGCTGGCAGCCTAGGTAGTCAGGGCCCCCAAGGCTGAGAGAAGAGATCTAGCTGGTGTCCAGAGAAAGCAAAGAGGCATACAGAGATGGTACATCTTAACCCCTGTCACAAAGTGGGTAGACCCAAGAGTAGACCCCAGCTCTTCCCTCTATCTTGCTCTCCAGTGCTCAAATCATCCTTCCTCTACATTCCCAACCTATTCAGTGCCACCCTGCCCCTTTAGGGACACCCAAGCCCACATCATGGGGCTGCTCTCCCAGCCCCTCTGCAGCCACCAGTGTGTTTACCTTGGTCACACCTGGGGCCTGTGTAGCCTCCATGGCACGTGCAGCTCCCGTTCCCAGCGACGCCGCTGTTGCATTCCCCGTGCACACAGTCACACTCTGCAAGGGGAGTCAGACAAAGCTTCAGCCCTTGGGCTGCCAGGCAATGCACAGGGCTACAGGAACACACTGGCCAGCTGCCCTGGCACTTGGCACCCTGATTTCCCAACAATAACCCACTAGCTCCTTTTAAAATATGGCCATGCCAGTCAGAGCTTTGAGGGTAAATTGCATGTCCTGAGCTCAAGAAGATGAGATAAGAGCAGCTCTGAATGCAAGACCTAGACCAGCTTTTCAGATGTTTGTTTTAACACATGGGTACAACCTCCAAGTTCACACCTATCTCACATGTGTGGACACAAGGAAGCAGGAGCTAGACAAAAAAGGCTCCTGTAACAGCCAGGCTGCACTGCCATAATTCACTTCCCAAACTGCCATACATGAGAGGCAGCGTGGTCTGTAATCATGTTTTTATAGAGGAAGGAAGGAAAAAGCTGGGAGACAAGTGGAGCTGTTATAGGAGTCTGAAAAACAGTCGGGAAGTGAGTGTGGGTTGTTTTAGGGATGCAGGTAATGGCCTGGCTAGAAAGAGAGAGGAAAGTGGGACAGCCTGGATAAGGGGGGAGAGAGAGAGATATTTACAATAGGAAAAATGGACTGTTTGAGTGAGAGACTGAGGATTATTTACTTAGTGGGACAGTGCAGAAAACAGAAGACAGTGCAGAAAGATAAAATGCCCAGACATCTGCTATTGAACACTGCCAGCTCTCTGCCACTTTCTCCCTCTCCAGCACCTTCCTCACTCAACCTCTTCCTCCTCCTTCCTTGTTTTCAGTTATTTTTGTGGAGGTTTCACTTGAATGACTTGTTCTTACCTGACTGACAGTCTGGGCCAAATCGATTTTCATCCCGACAGTTCTGGCAGCCATACCCATTGTATTGCTCCTAGAAGGGCCCCAAAATGTGTCAGGTATTATTTTTCTGTATCACTCTATTGTTTCACACATCATTACAGTTTACAGTCTCTCCCCATTTTTGATTTTCTGTGATATCTGAAGCAACACAAAGAAGAAAACTGATCTGCTCAGTGCTCCAGTACTAAACAGCCCCTGTGGCAAAGGAGCTCCCAGTGTAAGCTGACACACAGAGGGCATGCAAATGGCAGGAAACTCTGCTGGGCACTGAGCAAATAATGTCCTAATTACAGACAGACAGGAAAGTTCCAGCTGGCTTCTGATATCTGTCTGAAAAAGGAATCTGGAGGTCACTGATACCAGTGGGATTTTTTACACTGATTTTACAGGGCTCAGGGACTTTCAGCATACATTTTAGTTGATATAAGGTGTCTTTGAGTTAAATCCAAAATCAACTTTTCTCAAACACGGGTCCAAGAGGTAGGATTTGAGCTGTTAATTAAGAATGCTGTAAAAATATACAGTTCATCAGGGAAAGTTTCAAGTCTAACACTGATTCATTACCATATGCATTTTAGAAGCACTGCTCAATTCCGTTCAATTCAATTGTTTATACTTTGCTTGTACTAAGTCTGGAGTAGTAAAGAAAAAAAAAATATCTGCCCAAAATTCCTTCTCATCTCTCCTGTTTTTCCTGAGAGAGGGAGTCTGCCTACCTGGATACAGTTCATTAACAGCCAAGTGTTTCAGGGCTTCTTGCAGCCATGGACAGATACAATTATTTCAACTGATCAGGGGTTAAATTAATGCAATTCTTTCCTTATTTCACCCTTGAGATTCTTCCCAGCTCCACACCATCACCAACAGTGTTTTAGCACTATTGCTGACAACAGCAATGCTGCAGGAAAACCACAGACACTGATGCTGGGATGAGAGGAGCTGCAAATGCCTTCCAGGCAGAAGGGCAGCCTCCACCCAGAGCTCCTGCACAGACACCACACAAACAACTCCCTCCAACAAAGCACATCACCCTCAGAGAAAATCATACCCTCACCTTGCAGATGCAGGTCCCATTCTGCTGTATACCATCCAAACATGTCCCATGGCCATTGCAGGGATTTTCAGAGCCACCTGGACACTCTAGCAGGTAAGAGACAGGACAGATGAGATTAAATTGAACAACCAGCACCTTCCCATCTCCTCCTGCCCCAGGTATTCCAGCTGTACAAAACAAAGGTCAATTCACCAGCAAATTATCCAGCATGCCTAACACTGGCCCACAGGAGGAAGGTCTAAGAAAAGCCCCAACAAGCCATAACTAAATTTCAACAAAGGCACTGAAACATTTTTTGAGGTTGGGCCACTGCTGCCAGCAGCACTGAGAGGTGAGGGCAGTTCTGGAACTAAGAACAGACAGGAGCCTGCTTTGCAAAGACACTGAGCATTTTCAGCTCTCCTTGACTTCATGGAGAGCTGGAAGAGTGCCCAGAAAAACAGGGTCTCCACATCTTTAGAGTGGGGTACCTCCAGATTCTGAGGATTATTTCTGATAATTCTGAAATCTGTAATTTCCCTGATTAAACTAGTTGCTTATTCAAAGCCAGTATGAGAACAGGCTCAAGCACTCAGTCTCCCATTTTCTGCAGAACTGGAGGGGGCCTTTCCATATTCTGTCAGTCAAACACATGAGAAGTGTTCAGCTTAGTAGGTCCTGATTTTGGATTTTTGAGACAAGACAAAACAAATTCTCATTACTTGGCATAAATCTGAGTGGGAGTTCTGGGATTGTTATTTTCACCTTGGGTTGGAATTGTTAAGTATTTTCTGTGGCTGAACAGCTGACTGACTCCAGTATAGAGCAGCACACGTGGCACACGCGCTGCAGACAAGAGGGATATCAGAAAGATCTTCCTCTTCCTTTGGAAACTTTTGCAAAGAGGAACAAAAACATCCCTTTCCAAAAGTTTATTTTTATAGAAGAGACAAAAGGAAGTTCCACCACAGGAGGTTATGTTATGTGTTAAATGTAAGGGGATTCAACTCATCTGGAGCAAAGAGATAATGTGCTGAACAGACAAATATGCTCCCAGACAAATAATGGAGACCTTGTGAGTGTTCAAAGAATAATGAAAATTAAATAACCTCAATATATATTTAATGCCTCTATTAAAACTGGTTTGACCTGTTCAACAGCTGAAGGTTGTTGTAAAAATCCCCAAAACTTACCATAGCACTCTGTACCCCAAAATCCTGGACAGCACTTTTTCTCCTCAATTTCCTTATTACATATGCGATGGCACCCTGGCAGGGAAAGGGTATTTTCTCCTAACTTGACAGAGTATCTTAAAAAGAATAATCCAAGATTATGATTATACCACAAACCCAGCACAGACCTGCCTGAGGGTTTCTAGGCAATCCCACTGCAGTGCCCTGAGCTCTGAAGGGAAGGCAGGGCCCTCATCCCTGTTCCATGCACACACACAAGAGCTTTCACTCCAGTTATGTCTCTTTTAAAGAGGCCCATTGATTCAAGCCTCAGAGATTGGTTAGAAGAAACCTGTCAGGGACTGGGCATGAGACAGGATCTTGCATCAGGATGGAAACCTTGGGTGCTGAAGGGTTAAACAGCACAGAAAAAAAAGGTAGGATTTCCAGGGTGACTCACCATTCAACTTCACATCTAAAATAAGTTTGAAAGAACAAAATCTCCTTTCAGGACTCATCCTTTTGTGTCTTTTACTGAAGATTCCAGATCAAAATGCAGTAAATTTAGATTTAATAGCCATATTATTCACAGATTCTCTATTAAATCTTGAACAAATGCCTTAAATCCCTCAAGGAAGCATCTTCTTTTGAACCCATCATCCCCCCCTCCACACACAGGGTGAGCCCTTGGTGGCAGTGCCTCCTGTTCTGCACGTACACAGTACAAAACTATTCTTGGGTCTGTCCAACAACCACCACAAGAGTAGATAACACTCAGAAAAGCTGCATAGACTCACATTATTCTTACACTTCATTTTATTTTTGGCACCACATCCTTCCCAAAAGGAACTTGGAAATTGTCTCAATAGCATTGCTGCTTTGGCTTCATCTGACTCCTGTGTGTGCGCAAAAACTGCTATAAACTGCAAAACTGCCACCACTATTTTTAAAGTATTTTGAGGGAATCAGAGAAAGAGCCGACAATGGGGCTTTATATTAACAGTTAACATTCACTGCTGAATACATACACAAACAATAATCTATAGTGTTTCATTTTACAAAAGCCTCCTAGTAAATTCAGTTTTCCTTCGTCCTTTTCCTACCTGCCAAACTCAACAGAGTATGAGCAAGGAACACATGAACAAGCAATTGTCATAAAGTGAAGTAGGAAGGTTAAAAGTTCAGAGGATTATTGCTGGAAGCTGGGAGGATATACAAGGGGAACTATCATTAATTTTTTTTCTTAATAAGCCACTAAGGAATTCTGGGTCTGAAACAGGTTTTTATGCTAGACAGACCTCTGTTAAATTGCTATACAGCAGGATTAACAAACTCAGGTTATTTGGGGCAAGTTAAGAGGTTATTGTCATTTAATTTGTTCTGTGTATATAGAACCTGCCCAGCCAAAAGTCTGTGGGATTTGCAGAGAGACAAAAGCAACAATAATAGGGGCCATAAACCCATCTGAAACAGAACTCCATGGACCTTTACAGCTCAAACCCACGTGTGTGTTCTCCTGAGGAGCACACTACTCCCTGCATAGCAGGGCTGCACCAAAAGCATCACACAGTTAGGAAACAGGCCTTACCTGCAGTCCCCCAGCCCTGGTCTTTGGGTGGTCCTTGACCAGCCTCTTGGACACAACATTTTAGGCACTGCAGCACAAGAAGTACACGCTGTATTCATGGTGAACATCGTCTTGATATTGCACCGCATGGATTTTAACTTAAAAAGAAAAAACAGCACGGAAATAGCCCCAGATTAAATTGTTATCCCAGGCACTTATCTTGCCAATCTTGTAATATCTTTATCAAGTTGCACCATGAGTTAGATATCACTGAGGAGGGCAGTGGCCAGTGCAGCACGCTCTCCCATGGACTAAACCCTCCTGCCAAGGTGCTGCATGCTTGGGTCCACTGGATCTCAGCTAGAAGCAACAGGGCAGATCACAGCTATCTTACCTTCCCCTATGACCCACAGCAAAGTTTCTAACCATTTCTAAAATAACCACAACTCTGCACTGCTAATTTCAGCTGATCTTTTACAAACATGTAGTACTGGTGTGTGAGGACAAGCCCTAAATTAATAGCCCTTGCCAGAAGACACTGAATTAAAAGGCAACACAGCATTTATCTTTTCCATGCCACTGATAAAGTCCAGTTCATTGCTGTTCCATGGACCTGCAGAGCTGACTGTGTTAGTTCAGTCTATTTCCCAGAGCCAGGAGCTGCTCACAGAAATATTTCTCATGGCAACTGTTTGTGAGGAGGCACAGAGAGATGGATGAAAAGGAAAGGTGCTCTGCATCCCTCTGAACACCTCAATGCTTTGACCCCAGGTGAGAAGGACTCCATAAACATTGGCATGAAGATCAGGTAGGACACTTGGATATATCATATGGCTGGTGAATAAATCAGTAAGTCCTTCCACCCAACCAGAATGACTTTAGGGGTTTAGTTTTCCTCACAGGATTTTCCTGCACCCCTGCACAACCTTGCTTTTCCAAGAGAAACACAGATGACAAAGTACAGCCTCAAGAGTGAATGATCATCATCACATGCCAACCTGTCATTAAAACTTGTGATTTTGCTCCAAAAGCATTTCCTTGAATTTCTAAACTTCTGGAAGCAAGCAACTGCATGGAAACCTCATTGGTAATTTTGAAAAAAGACAGTATTTGCCACTGCTGATGACAGAGAGAAGCTGAGAGGCATGAGCTGTGTATGCTCCAGAAGGTCATTGACTGGAAAAAACCCAGAGCTCATCTCAACTGTGCCTCTACAGGCATTGTATTTTCTAAAAATAAAAACATTATATCAAATTTTGGGAGAGGCCTTGATCTGGAATTTTAAAGCCATTCCTGAACAATGCTGCTAATGCAGCAGCCCTCCTGTCCCCAGAACTCCTTGTTTTGGATTCCCATCAGCAATCTCAGCTTTGCTTCCTCTGAACTTAAGCCCAAATACATACATTTGCCTCAAGGCAAGGGAGGAAGCCCATGGCTTCCCATCAGTTATCAAGAGCTCAGGAAGGCCCTCCCAGATGATAGGCAGCAGACCCTGTCAGGAAAACCTCCTGAGAGATAACCCTCAAGTCCCAGGTCCACAGGGACATGTTCCTGGAATATTTCCCGACTCCTTCCCTCTGACTGGAGCTGTTGAGCTTTTGCTCATGTTTATGGATCCACCTTCTGCAGCCATACATGCAAGAATGCTGCCCAGTGAAGGAAATGATTTCTGTGGCTGTGGTTGCCCTTCCCATGGATATTAACTTCTAGTTGTGCTTCTGCGGCTTTCCTACCACACAGCAACCTCCAGTTCCCCTGGCAGCAGAATCCCCAGGAACCTTTTATGTCAAGGACTCCCTTGTAGTATAAAGAGCTCAAAACCAATCTGAGATCCACCAACTCCATCTCTCCTGTGAGCACCAGCTTTACTGATATTATCCAGCAGAACAGAGATCAGCTTTGCTGTTCCTTATGCACAGAGCGGGCAGATTTCCCATTTTTTATGGAGCAAAGCAGAGAAGAAAACAAACAATATGGATGAGCAAACAAGGTGCTGCCTCCAGAGTACTCTGCCTCTAAAGATCAGCAGTGCCATTGATGGGGTCACCATCTGACTGGATCTTAAATGAGGACTCCAGATTAAAACTGGGCTTTTGAAAGGAGCCAGTTGAAGCCAGGCTCATGGATCCCACAGAACAAACAGCTCCAGCCCTTTTGGTTCCACCAAATCCCAGCGTTAGCCTTTCCTGAGACAATGCCTCAGAAAAAGGAATGGGAAGATGCCTGAGCAAGAAATACAAATGTGGGCTCCTTCCTGTGAGTTAGAATTATGCCACAAACCTCTACCAGGTATGTGAGCCACCCTATCTGTATCAAAAAGACCACTAAACATAGAGCACAAAACACTAAATTAAAATTCTCCAACCTTCTATTTCATATGTACTTTCAGGCATCAGACACAGTTGGGCCATGGAATGTGTTCTCTGTCATGGTTGTGCAGGAAGACACCATGTTATTCTTACATTATTCTATTTCCCTTCTCTTTTCTCCATCAATGTGGCTCCATTTCTCAATGGAAATGAAGAGTGGGAGAGATGGATGTCTACCATTCCTCCCTGTTGGCATGTTTAATTACTTGCAGACCTCTAAGACAAGACAGTTATTGTGGAATCCCCCCCACCCTACTGGGACACTAGATAAGCTTAGGCAGCTTTCCAGTAAGACCTTCCCCTTTTTATAAGGAAATATGCTTGTGTCAGCAGCAACAGGCAGGAGGAAAGAGGAAGAAAACAGCTGAGTGGAAAAGTATTAAAAAAAATATTTCCCTTCTAATCTGAGTGACAGAACTGATGAAGCAGTCATTTTCTGGAGAGTTTTTCTTCTTAGAAAAGCAGAAGATGGAATCAAGGGACATAAATGCAACAGTCTGGATACTCAAATTCTGGAAAGGATGAAAGACAGACAGAAGTTTGAGTCAGAAGTGGCTCCTGGGGCACAGCCTCATGGAAAACAAAGATGAACTGCTCCCTTGGGCTTATCTTTGACTGGTTCCTAAGTGCAAAACCACTGGAAAGGAAGTGACAAGAGGGAATATCTGTCCCTGTGATGCAGCAGTGCTGCCTGGCTACAGTCACTGTTCTGATCAGGTGATGTTGTGAGCCTGGACTCACAGTTTGTGTACAAAGGAACAGGAAAGGAGGACTGATGCTCTCAAACATCTCCAAAATGAAAAATTTTAAAGCAGAAGACATCCAGCTGTAACCAAAAGAAGAGCCAGGGTGCCTCTCTCTTCCAGGCTGTGCTGTGCTCTCTCCCTGCACTCAAATGCTTGTGCAAGAGCTACCGCTGTTCTCTGCACTCAGCTGAGACCCAGAGAAGCTTCTGGATGCTGCAATGTTTCCTTCCCTCCTCTCTGAACAGATGTCCCTCACTTCTCAAGTGCTCATTTCTCGTACTCCACCTCAGGAGAATAAGCTGGGAAGTATTTCGTAAGGGCTAGTTTCATTCCTCTTATTTTCACTCTTTATCTTTGCCTCCCAAACCATAACACAAATCCTTCTGCATGGTAAAAATCTCAAGGAAGAAAGAAAAACATATTTGGACGTCAGTGCTCGGCTCCAACAATCCTGGGAGCCAGTTCTGGAAATAGCCATTATCTAATGAATCACCAAGTTTCCAGGGCATTTGTCCTTTACAAAACAGAGCTGTAGACACATGCTCGAGTCATTATAGCCATGAACCTCCCCAAGCAGTTCTCAATAACACTGGAGCTGAACAGAGCAGCAGCTCCTGGACACACAGACTCTTCACACTTGTTCAAGGAAGACACTTTGTAGTGCGAAGATGAAGAGTCATCTCAGAAATCACAAAACATGAGATTTACTGTTGCCCTGGGTTTCCCAGCACGTCAGCTGCAGAGCACTGGGAACATGGGGATGCTCAGACCCCTCTCCTCATTTCCCACCTGCCTCCATTCCTCCTCAAGCACAGCCTGGGATTGGCCTCCTCCCAGCAGAAAAACTCCCGTGGTTCTCACATCTGCTGCATCTTCCCCAACCCATAGCAAGAAGTATGGGAAAAACCAAATCAGAATAAGAGTCACTGTCATGTTTGAACCATTAAAGCTGAGTCCTGAGGTCACATCAGTGATAAACAGGTAGCACACAATCTCTCCTCTCTCAATGACCCCTGTGAGCCAAGAAAAGCCTCCTGTGGAATCACAGCACTTTTATTCCAATCAGATCCAATGGGTTTTCTAAACTGCCAGAGAAAGCTTCATTAGATCCTCATTTTTCCTTATCTCCTATTATAACCTTGCAAATGCTTCTCTTCTTTCTCCATAAAAAGGGAATTTTTGAGGAAAAAACTCTGAAAAGGAGTTATTCCTGGATTAAGTAAACTGCTCCAGAGGTGATTCAAAACATTTAACTTCTCTGTAAGTGGGTACTCATACCTAATAATGTAACTGTTTCATGCCAAGCCAGACTCCTCAGTGATTGCAGAGATAAACAGAGTGTGTCCATGCATAGAGATCTACATTTCCCCTTACAGCAGCTGAAGACACAAGCCCATGCCTCTGGACACAACCTGAAATCATCTGCCTGGAATCCACATCTCCAGACAGGTGAAATCCACCCCTAGAAACACTTCATGTTTGTGCTCAAGTCACCATCATGATCCTACAAGCCTTCCTAGCATTCGTTTATGGCCCTTTCATGAAAGAGTCTATACAGAAGCTTCCACCCAAAGGTCTGACACTGAAGCACCTTTCCAGTCTTCTGGCTTTTTCTAAATCAAGTCCTTAAGACTCACAGTTGTGTCCATTCCCCACAAGGCCCTGCTGTGTCATTCAAGACAAGACAATCCTACACAGGGTGTTTCTCCTCCCCAGGGAATTTCCAAATGCCCCCCACAACTCTGGGCTTAGCAGCCAGTTTGCTCCTCCAACAGCAGGACACGAGGAAGGGGATGGCAGGAGACAATATAAAGTGAATTAGTGTGAATTCCAGCCCACAGGAACTGGGCTGCCTCACCACAGAGTCTAGAGAACAGATCTACAAAGGTATCACACATTCTCCTACATGCTGCTGCTAAACACAAGAACAGAGGGGAAGGAATCAAAAGAAAATCAACAAAATTGAAATAAAATGGAAAGTATTCAACAATCCTTACTGAGGAGCTTTTGGGAAATATACTTGAAACAAACTGTTGCAAAGGGACAAATTGACGAGAACTGTAAAAGTTATTTTTAAGTAAAATTCTCCTGGGAAACTTATGGATCTGTCCTGATGGATACAAAGTTCCTGTCCCACATATGGAAACTAGCAGAAGACAAAGATGCCGAGCATTTCCCTCTGATGTTGCTTCTTTCAAGTTCAGTGCTGAACACAAACATGAATTTAATCTGATTTAAAACTCAAGCAGCTCCCTTCAACCTTATTTTTAGTTCCTGAGCTTGGACTACAGAGAAGATACCTCACAGCCCTACAGTTTTTACTGATTTTATTCTGCACCTAACTAAATGTAAATGAAAAAAAAAGAGTTGTGGAGAGGACTATTTCCTAACATGCTACCATCCAAATATGAAGAACTTTTCAATGACCATTTAAACAAAGACCCGCAGACTTACCTTCTGACTCTGGCAGTCAGCTGTGGGACTGAAGCATGCTGCTAAGAAGAAAAACAGCAATCCAGGAGGATGCATTTTCATGCTTTTACAGGCAGGACCCTTTACACAAAAGGGGTGGCGAGAGAGGCTGCAATTTCTGTAAGATAACACCGCCTACTAAGAATCAGATCCAAGACAAACCAGAGGTTAAAAGTAAACAGGGAGAGAGCATTTTTGCACTGTGCTTTTTGGCTGCAAAGCCTTCAGAAATGGATCTGCTACTTCTAGTGTGATTTCTGAATCAACATAAGCTTTTTCTTTCCATTCTTTTTTTAAATGCACAAGCAGAACTCCTTAGTAAAAGGTTTACTCAAAACAGGAACATCTACGGATTTCCTCTTACATATCAGTTCAAAACAGAAGGAAGGAAATCCTTAGTTTTCAACTAATTGGAATGAAAAGAGGTTAACTGTATGCTTAACAGAAGGCAAATGCAATGGGCAAACTTAAATACCATAAATTCATGAAGGGTAAGTTAATTTCCTTTTGCCACTGATGTGAATATGTCCGTAACACCTCAAGTGAAGGTAGAGCTGAGCACTGCCTATGCCAAAGTATTGCAAGAACAAAGCAATGTGAGTGACAGGCTGTGCTTCAGAACAGGAATGGAGCACATTTCATCAATCAATCAATCAATCAATCAAGCACTTTGGGCAGGCTTCGATATTTTTATTTTAAATAGTTGACTTCTCAGCAAGAAAAGCTGATGCTATGGCAGCAATGGCAAAATTTATAATTTCCAAATACTCTGCTGACAGCTTGATGAATCCAAGGAGCATTTCCATAGCACTCAGAACAGGAAAGTCCCAAAACAGGATTAAAAAAAATACACACTAACATGAGGTACAGTCTGCAATTTACATTCTCCTTTTGAATTTTACAAAGAATTGGTTATTGACAGATTTTCCATGTTCTTTGTCTCCCTGCCCTGCCAAGAGAGCCCATTATCCTGAGCAGTCTAAGGACTGCTTCTGTTAGCAACAAATCTCACTAAGCGATGAGGCACCTTCATATTTTCTAGCCATTAATAGCACATGAAGGTGCTTAAATGAAACCAGGACATGGAACCATTCTTGTGTTTACATAATAATGAGAGCATTAATACCTTTTTGCCCCTGCATCCCCCAAAGCCACACATGCTGTAATGCACGAGGCGCACAGGAAGCGCTGTACTTACTGCTGCCGTCAGCTGTGCTTCACTTCTGCCTTCATCCTACAGGGAAAGGCAGCATGATGAACAGCCAGCCCTGCTATATATCCTGCACTAACAGGAAGCAGATAAGGCACAACCATCCACTGCAACCCATGTGAGCAGCACCAGCCCACAGCTCAACCCAACAGCTCAGCCCCCTTGTCCTGCCACAAGACAACTGCAGCCCTGGGACTGTCACTGCCCAGCTGGTGCCACCCTGTCAGGGTCAGAGGGCTCACACTGCTCTGGAAACCATTTGGTACCCTGAAGGTCTTCAAAATGAGGCAGAGGCACCATGGCTGAGCCACTTCTGGTGCGATGGGAAAGTCACAAATGGGCAGTGGGGACACTCTCGTTTGAATGAGAGAATGAAAGCTGTACAGTGTTTTCTTGGCCTGCAGTCACGGCCCTGAGCTGGCCATGGAAACACAAGAATGAGGCTGCTCCTCTGCTCCATGCTGCCCCAGGAGGATGGTGAAGATTGTTGGGTTCTCCAAGAACTGGCTGGATGACACAGGGATTAAGTTTAAGCCAGCATCCACAAATAGCTGATAAGTTTTTAAGGTGAAAATAGCTCACCCAGGGGCACTGGAAGGTGCAATGGATTCTTTAATGGCTCAGTGCTGAAAATGGTACAGGGCAAGAAAAACACACCAAGACTAATTCCAGGGCTTTCTACTGCTGCTTATCATCACTGTATCTGACCTACTGCAGGTAAACCAGGAAGGGAGAGAAATGCTTGCTGAAATTCCTGTCTGAATTAAATAAATCAGATTCACAGCAACATCAAAAGGTTCACAGCCAGCTTCCTTATCTGACCTTACCTCAATTAAAGACTAGCAATACAAAAGCAATATACAGGCTAAAAATGCAAACAGTGAGTAGTGCCATTGTACAACAGCAAAGAATAAACTGAAAAATCAAAAGGTCATCTGTCATTAGACCCTGCTTTCCTGACCAAGCAGCATAAGCACTCTCTGTTTCAGCCACTGCCTATGAGCTGCTCTGAGAGAATGGAAACTTTGCTCACCACTGCTGCTGGAGCTGGAACACCAAAATCTGCAACACTTCTGGATCTTCATGATTCTGGAAATTAGTAAGAAGGTGAATCACTGACCACCTCTAAATTAATAGGTGGCCAAGAGCCATTAGTAATGTTCAGTGCACAGAAGCCAAAGTGCTCTCAGCAGCAGTTCCAGCTGGCAGTGTCATCAAAGATGGCAACACCAGCAGAGAAACAGCACAGGAAGCAAAAATGAGCCAAACAAACCCAAATTACTGTTCCACTCAGTAATCTGTTCTCTTCTCATAGATGGATTCCTCCTAGGCAGATAAATGTATTTTCTCATGGATGACATCTATAAAAACTTTATGCCTTAGAGGCAAAATGCATTGGGATCAATTTTTTGATTCCACTGTTTAGTCCAATACTCTTCAAAACTGTCAACAAATAAAAACCCCAGTTCCCTCACTCATTTCAATATTAGACCCACTCATGCACAGAGGCATCTCTACTAAGTATTTCAGACCCCAAAATCTCATAAAGCAAGATCCTGAGATTTGCCAGAGAGCCTTCGTCAAAAGAGAAAATTTAGGCAAGGCTTGTAAAGATCTAATGACAGAATACACAAACAGCCCTGTGCAGGCAGGGTAGGAGGATTTTGTTCACGTCCTAGTCAATGTTTGATTGAAATAGGATTGTACAAATCCAATTTTAAAGCATACAGTAGGAGTTGTCAACTGTCTGGCAGTGTGTTTATCTGTGAGGTTTCACACATGGATTTATTTGTTTTAGAAAGCATGGAGATTGACTTATCTGTCAAGTGTCTCTTGCCCACATAACAGAAGGTGGCTGGTTTAGCAGAAGTCACAGACATGGGTCTCAGAAACATCTTCAAATTCTGTCCCTGACTTCTTCAAGATAACTGCTACAAAACACTTAAAATTTACCTTGTGGGCTCAGTCTCCCCCATCATCAGCAGATTGTTGGCAGCAGGAAAGCTCGGGATTTTTCTCTCTCAGGGAAAAATTCCCTCTCTTCTTATTTATGCATCAATGACAAGCTGAGTCCTCTAAAGCAACTTTTGTAAGACCTGGAATTTTTATTGTGTACACATTAACATTTAAAGTTGAGAATCTGCTGGTAAAAATTACTCAATCTGTTTCACAGAATAAGAAACCAAACCCCCACTTGGATAGAGGCAAAGGATAAGGCTGCAAACCCTCCCAGACTCCCTGCCTGCCTGTGCCACACAATGTGTTTTAAAATGCTGGGTCACCAGCTCTGTTCTGTGAAGTGTGTGCAGCTCTGACCAGATTGGGCAATTTCCTGCTATTGAAATCTTTTGTATAGAAACTACAGAGCCAAGGCAAGTGATTTGCCATCCAGTCTACCTTGCCACACAGCTTCTCTGGGAACTGACCATTTGGTTACATCCACAGAGAAAAAAGGACTCTTGTTCTGCACTTCTGGCAAAGCTGGGAAAGGACATTAAGTGCCTTTGCTTGAGTTGTAAGGCTGTGAGTCTGAAAAGGATTAAGCAGGCCAAGCCAATAGTGGTTGTGTGTAGGAATGGGGCCAGCTGAACCATACTTACCCAACATACCCTCAGGGTCCTGGTGAAGATGCAAGGACACAACCCTAATTTTCCTTTCCTCTTGGCAAGTTGGAAGGAACTGGAATTTTTAAGGTTTGCTCATAAAAGCAAAAATCCTGCAAGGATTGCACAGAGAGACCAGTCTGTTTATCCTTCTCTTTCTCACACACACAGTAGTCCACTTCCAAGCAGACAAGTAGGGCTGCCTGAGCACAATGCTGTGGCACAATTCAGAAAGAAATTGTCATGGTTGCTCACATCCTGTTACTCCAAAACCTCTATGGGCACCAGTTCCAATGTCAGTAAATAAGTGCTCTAAGTCTGGCCTATCACTTTCTCTTGATTCTGAGTTTCTTTACATGTTCTGCTGCAGTGAAAGCCAGCAACATTTTCCTGTCTCTTGGTTTTAGTTTTGTACCTTTCCCATTTATTAATCTGGGATTGTACTGGAAAGTCAGACTCTAAACCCCCACAGGTACCCAATATTAATTAGAATTCTGGGTAAAGCTCTTTGTTCCAATAGCTGAGCTACTGAAGCTCAGTACCTGCTGACAGGAGCACGCTGGCAGAGGCAGTGAGCTCTCCCATGAAGTGCTGCTGATTCTTCAGGCCCTGTTGTCTGTAAGGGACACAGAGGGCCTACAATGTGGTTGACTCAAGCTGTACCCAACAGTTTGCCAAGGTCAGCATTGATGGGAGTCAGAATCCTGCTAACTCTGCATTTTCAGCAACTTCAGAGATGCCAGGGGTTCTTGTCATCCCCTCTGAGAGACCCTGAAGACTGAAGCACAAGGGCTTGGTGCTCTCCTCAGCTACTCTGGCTACTGCTCTTCATGCACCTATTCAGGCAGATTTTTTCAGTGCTGGCCAGTCTTTCTGGATCTAATGAATTTCCCACCCTCCCTTTTTCACATCAAATTTTAGCTTTCCAAGTTACTAAATGCCCTTTAAAATCAGGTGGGCATCAAGCTACAGAAGCTTGTGGTCTGCTCTGAGCCACAGCTTCCCTGCTTTTCCTCATGTGGCTGTTTTCTGCCTAAGATTTGGTGTGTTTGAAGATTACTACTGCACAAGTAAACTCTCTGATCAGAATGCAAGTAAGATGCAGCAGCACTTTGTGTTACACCAATTAAAAAACCCCGGTTCATTATCAGGGCTGATAAGAACAAGAAGGTGAGGGGCTGATGGAAATCCATGACTGTGCAGCACATGCACAGCCAGGCAGAGCAGAGCTCTGTAAAGCAGCACAGGAATGGACACAGGACACACAGGATGCAGGTCACACTGTCATTTCTTCTTGCAGAGACAACAGTGCAGCCCAGGCCAGCACCTCATTTACTTTCCTTCCTGATGAAGTTCATTTACAATTTTTTAATTGTGATACAAAGGAAGTTTTAAAACCTTGATCCTTGGCAGATGACACTGAACAAAAATAATTGTTTGGGTCTTCCTAGGGTGGCAAAAATCTACATCAGCTGTAAAGCC